GGATTATTCACGAACCTTCCACTCTCCGACAAAGTCGGCAAACTGCTTGAAGAACACTCTTCTCGCGTTCTCATCCGTGGGATCTTCGCCAAAGAAGGTCATGATGTCTTTGTACACGCCCTGCATCTCTTCTAGGTACAGGGACAGCTGCTCCGCCTTTCTTCGCGCCTCCTTCATGCTTCTTTGCACAACCTGCGACACCCGATCCTCAGGGTGAAATTTGGAGCTGTCGGAGAGGTTGCCCATGTCCAAGCTTTGTTGCACGTTTTTGATCGTGTCAATGTACTTCTTGGCGTCGGTAATGAGTTGATCTACATTTAACTTCTGAGCCGCAACGACGCCGTCAATGTCGTGCACGAAGTCCTCCCACTCCGGGAAACGCTCGCGCACGGCGCGTTCGACAAAGTCGGCAAAGGTGGTTTCGTTGGCGTAGTCCTTGACCATGTTGAGACGGGAGAGAGATGAGATTTTGAAGCCCGTGGCCTGCTTGTTAGGGTCGTTCATGAAGTTACCCAGGCTCAGAATCAAGCTGAGCACGTTGAGAAGGGAGACTGAGTCACGTAGGGAATTGGATACTGTGACCACATTGCGTAGCTTCGCGGAAATTTCGTCGTACTCCGACTCGAACGTACGAGTCAGGCTCAAGGCACGCATGCGTGCCTTCCAATAGTGGTGCAGCTCGAACGCCGTGTAGAGGTAGAGCTGGTCTTCTCTTGTCAGCTCGTTGGGATCCTGCTCCCTTTCGGTCTTGAGCGCGTTCGGTCCCGTCCAATCCTTGGAATATGGTGCCATAAGCTTGCTCGTGTTGTCGGGAATATTGCACAGATCGTCCCTTTGCAGGAATTCCATGACAACGGTGTTGTCCAGGATTTCGCGGTCACAATGAATAATCATGCGCACAACTTCGTCGACGGACTTATTGGAGAACTTGGCGAGCGATATCTGCCAGTTCTTCATGAGGTCGGACGAAATGATCTGTTTCTTATCCGACTTCTTCGCTCCGCTACCCTTGCCAATCTGTTTGATCTCTTTCGCAAGGAAGAGTTTCTCGACCTCGTCAAGAATGCCCTTGCGCGATAGCTCACGGTATCGCTCCTCCCTCTCGTCAAGAGACTGGCCTTGCGTTGCCCAAATCGTGACTTGTGGTGTGTCGACCTTCTCCCAATGCAAAGCCTTGAGCTTCTTCTTTGGCCTTGCCACGCCGAGTGCTGGAGCAGCAAGCGCAGCGTCAAGGTTCGGCTTAGGCAAAAAGCCTGGGCCCCGCTTGCCCATGCCGGGCAAAGGAGGCGCAGGCGGTGGGGGCAGTCCCTTCATGCCCGGCATAGGGGGAGGGGGAGGAGGTGCTGACGAGCCAAAGCCTGGCATTCCCGGTGGTGGAGGTGGAGGCGGAGGCGCATTATTCGAAAAGCCTGGCAAAGGAGGTGGTGTAGGTGCACCATCTGCTCCAATTCCAGGCATCGGCGGAGCCGACGGGGCTTTACCACTTCCAAAACCAGGAAGGCCATTCGCATCGTCGGCCGGCGTGCGTGGCGAATCGGCTTCCAGGCTTGAATGTGTGGTACCGGAGCTGACGCCAGGCCCGTCTGCCACGCTCTCCTCGTCACTGCCCTCATAACGCTTCACGCGAGACGCCATCTCGTTAAACACGCCGTTCATGCCGTTGGCTTGCTCTCTGTTCGGTCTGGAGACATCGATCAGCTTCGGTTTACGGAAGCTGGGCTGCGCCGACGCAATCTCGCCAACTTCTCCGACGTCTTCCTCGTCGACCTCGACGTTCTCTGTAGACGATGAAGATTGGCCGCCGCCTGCTGCGACAGGTTTCCGTCGCAAACCCGTCCTCGACGCTGCAACCGAGCCCAGAGCCGACGCATCATAGGCCGCACCGTACTTCCGCAGCTCCTCTTCAGTGTTTTCAATCTCGCCGTCCATCTGCTCCCTGAGCTCACGTAGCTTATCGGACGGCGTGACTTGATTCCACACTTTGCCTTCAAGCTTAGCCTGAGTCTTGGCCCGCTCAAGTTGCATCTCCAATCTCGCCATAAGTCTCTGCCTGTCCAATATGCCTTGGGCCTGCAGGTTGTCTTTGTCAGATTCATCAGCACCTCCCTTGGCAGCGCGCGCCGCAGCGGCGTCCTGCGCATCGCGGAGCATGAGATAGAGTTCCCGCGTTTCCAATTCGTTTCGTTGCATCTCCTGTGCGCGCAGCTGCTGCAACTCCGCGATCTCAGCCTTCAAGGCATCTAGCTGTCTTTGTTGGATCCCGATGACTTCGTCTCTCTCCAGCAGCTGCTTCTGCAGTTTCGCCACCAGACCATCGGCGCCAAGTTGCACTTGTGCCTGCAGTTCGTCGCGCTCAGCTATCGCTGCGTCGGCTATTTGCTTCGCGGCGATGGCATCGTCTCGTGCCTGTCGTGCCTCTGAGTCTGTGTACAGTTTGTCGAGTAGAGACTGCACCGTGAAATTGAGCGATTGTTTGAGGTCCATGTCCGGCAGCCTGCGATCCATGACGACGTAGCTCAGCATAGCTTCGACGAGTTGAAACGTCCGCAGGCGGTCCTCGGCGTCGTTGTCCCTGAGCAACAGGAGGTGCTGCATCATGGACAAGAAGTAGTCATTCGCCTTGGTGTTGAGCAGCTTGCTCTGGATGGCTTCCGCAATTTGCACAGGATCATTGATGTCTCTGCCCTCAGACTCAACGCTCTCGACCATGGACGCGTTGTCGCGCTCGAGCAGGTCCTCGTAGTCGATCGCCTTGTTAGTGCGGTACTGTTCGATCTGCTTGTCGATCACCTCGTACTGGAACTCCTCCATCTTGGTCATGATGCGGTCGATGCCACAAGCCGTTAGCTGCGCACGAAGGTGGCACCGCAGCTGCAGGTCTTTCTCCGGTGTGTCGACGATCGAGTTGACGAGCAGCAGCGACACGACCGAGTACTCCATGAGCATGTTCTCGACTCCCATACCTCCGGAGCGCACCTCGCTGCTTGCTCCGACAAGACTGCCCATCTTGCCGCGGCCATCGATGGTGATCTCGATCCAGCGCATCCAAGCATCGAAGCGGCCATTCTCGTTGTTCTGCGTCTTCAGGTGGTCCAAGGCTTGGATGACCCTTCTGTGGCCCTGTCCGTCCGCCCAATGGCATAGAAAAGTAAGCACATCGCTGACCAATTTCCTAGTGTTCAGTCGAGGGGAGATGAGGGACCCGGCAAGTGCATTGACGATCTGGGCGTGCTGCAGCGCATTGTCGGCGCCATACTTGTTGTTCATCAACGCCTTCAGACACTTGATGATGTCGTATTCCCTGTCCCAGTCTTTCTCCTGGTTCGGAGGACCGACCTGTGAGCCACGCTGGCCTGGACCGTTGCGCCGGTTGATCTTGCTGAGTACGTTGGTGAGCGCGATTTGGCCTTGCGCCTCCACAAAGGCCTTCACCCAGCCGATAGGTTGCGTGCGCAGACTGACGCTCAAACTACCCAGTTGCTTTGGCGTGATCGAATTGTCCATCACCTTCCGCACGTACCACTCCGGGCTGCCCTCCTCATGGGCGCGATCCAAGATGTTGCTGCTTCCACCGCCTCCGTAGTCGGATCCGAAGCGGTTGGTCTGCCTCTTCTTCTGCTCGCCCTGCCACTCAGCAAGCCGATCCTGATACACGAGCGTCCACTTCTTGGCGATCGAGTAAGCCTCCATTTGTCGTCGGGCTTGCTCGGGCAGCGATTTCCATCCGCGCTTGACCATGAGGTCGTGGAAGGCTTGTTCGATGATGCGATCGTCGGCCGGTCGCTGAAGGCTGAAGCCCTCGGGCGAGAATGAAGTGGTGGACAAAGATGGATTCCCGGACGTCATGGAGTACGTCTGGTGCTGCCGTAGCGTGTTGGCCGACGGGCTAGGGTTCCAATTGGGGTCTCTAACATCGCTTCCGCCATCTCTTGAATTCATCGCCCTGGCGCCACTTCGGCCGGAGTTCTGCGAGTCGAAGGAATACACGCTTGCCTGATCCGAAGACTGTCTCGCGAATGTGCTGCGATCTGAATAGCTGTCTGTATGATTGTTGAACCCCGTCACGGTCACCGCGCTCGTTCTAGCCGGGCCCCACGACTGCATGGAGACACCGCGATCACCCGGCTGACTCGCGGCCATGGTCGTCGCATGGCCCAGATGCGGCGGCGGCCGAGGGGGCGCCATGCTCCTGGTATCTATGGTTGGGTACTGATGGAAGTCGCTGCCGCCTAGTCCCTTGTTCAGATGATGTGGTGAAAGATCCCTCCTCGGGACGCTGGGTTCATTGTGCGGTAGATGGTCGACGGGTCGCGGGGTGTCGCCGCCGGCGACGCTTTCGTACGGTATGCTCGTGATGACACCAGCGTTCATGCCCAAGCCAGAAACGTCCTCGCCCAGCGAAAGCGGCCGCTCATTGGCGTGAATCGAATTCTTGTGCGAATGGCGCGACGAGGTGGAACCGTGGGCGGAGGGCGACCGTGAGCCGTCGTACGGGTAGGTTGTGTCGTTGTAGGTGTGCTCGCCAGGCTTCTCCGACTTGCGAATGAAGCCTAGAATTCCCTTTCCGCCGGAGCTCTGCCGTGACTTGTCCTGAGACGGCATGTTCTTATATGTGCGGAACTGTTATAGTCGAAACGGACCGGGGGGGTGGAACGGGGTGTCCGCGCGTGGAGTAGACGACGGTGGAGAGTTCTGGCCGAGGCCTCGGCAGCGAGCTAGAGAGAGAGAGAGAGAGAGAGAGAGAGAGAGGCGAGGTGAAGAGCAAGTCGTGGCTCTCGCACGGTCGAGGGAGGCGGCGCCGTCAAGCTACTTTTTTCTCTCCGTACGCACTCCCACCGCCTCCTGCGTGAAAGCGCCAGCGGACGCTTTCGAGGGATGATCACACGTCGTACGCTGGCGTTTGGCGTGCGAGTCTCGCGAGAAACAGCGTGGTCGTCGTCCTCGTCGTCGTCTGTTGCCGTCCTGTTCTCCGTCGTTGCGCAGACAATGTCGAAAACGGAAGCGTCGAGAAGGATGAGTGTGCGCGTCGTCGTCCAGTGGGTGCAGCCAGAGCGCAGTGACCCTCGGGCTCGCCTCCCAAAGAGGCAACGAGGAGAGCCACAGTTGCGCCTCTTCCTTCGCCCAGCGCGGCCGGATCGGCGCCGTGATTCGAGCGCGTTGCGGCCCACGACGAACGCGAGCAGCCGTAGCACAAGGCTGGTATTAGCGGTGCTGGCGAAGAGACGAACGCTCAGTCAGTCTTCTTCGGGGTTTTGCTCTGCGCAGACGTTGCGCGCCCACACGGGGAGACGGCGTGCGGGTGCGTGTGAGGAGCGCCCGATAAGCGAGGGGCCTTGCCCTGAGCGTTCCTGCGCTCGCGCCGCCATCACCGCCCCTTCGGCCCAGTTCGCTCTCCCTTTGTTTCACGCTGCGGGGCCCACGCCGGTGGTCGCCGTCGTCGTCGTCTAAACGCCCCGGCCGAGACGCACGACGCCTGCAGCAGCACCTTGATCGCGCTTTTCATGCTCCCGTCCTTCTTCGGTCCCTGCCGGCGCCCCGGTCTGCTTGACTTCTCGAGTGTGTCAGGTCCACCAGGCCCGACAGCACGACACAGGCCTTGGGCGGTCGTCGGCGAGGGGCTTGGGCACACGTCCACGGATTGCGTCTTTCCAGCAGACGAACTTGACGCTCAGCTATGTCCCCTTGCCAGAGCGGCGCCAGACGGGTGACAGCCCGCCACAAGGACAAGTGCAAGTACAAGAACAAGCAATCTACAGGAACAAGAAGAACTACTAGAACTAGCGAGCTGGAGGCTGAGAAGGAGAGCCCGCACCCATCGCTTGCCGTCCCGAGCACCGTGCTGCCTCTGTACTCGTGCGCCAGTCGGGTTGTGCACTCGCCCGATGGTTTGGATGACGGTGCGTGTGTGGCTGCTCGCTCTCTCTCGCCCTCTCTCGCTCTCTCTCTCTCTCTTCAAGAAGCCACTCGCCAACTTCACACTCCCTCCACGACGTGACCCTTCGAGCAGGCACGCGTCTGGCTGTCTTGCTCCCGTCGTCGAAGACGCATGGCCAGCCTTGCCGTTGCCACCTCTCCTCGTGCACGAGTTCCACGGCTGCCTGCAAACATGTCCATTTCGTGTCCCGAAGGGTGAGCGCACACCTCCCCATCTCTCTCGTAGATTATTACTCGGCAGGTGGCAGGAAAGTACCCGACTTTTGAATGCCCTCCGCTTCGTCTCGTTGCACCTCTGGGGCTAAGAAACCCATCCGTGGACACTGTGACTGAGAACGTGGTGTATGGCTTTCCGCAGCATCAATCTGAGAAACGGGCATGTTTTATGATGAATGCTTGGGCCGTTTCTCCATCTGTTATCTAATTCAACAGCATGCCGCTGCACACTCGCGTATATCACCCGCCTCTCGCCGGCCCCTCTCTCTTTCTTGCCCGTGCTTGGTGCCCGCCATCTACTTTCAGATCTCGCAGGCAACCACGGACTGGAAAGATGTTTCAGGAGCGCATAGCCTTCTCAAGCATGTTGAGAAAAGTGCCGAGGAGGTCCTCCATGATTTGCTTGTGTAGCTTGGTCGTGTGCTGAACCAGCTCATTCGCCCTTGACAATGACCATTTCGGTCGAGATTTGATCATTCAGTGGGAGGCATGACTTCCTCCATGTCAACGGCATCCACATCTTCAACGTACACTGTGAGTGTGGCTGTGCGTAAAATGATACTTTGATCAAAGTCATGTTGTGGACAGTCATGCCGACCGCGTAGGGTAACGCAGTCTGATGACGAAACCGTCCGCGGCGACCGACACGAAACACACTGCTCTTCAGCTCTGATTACTGATGTCTTAGCCGACTACGACCGAGACGCAGATGCTGCAAGGCTCTCAAGGCTCTTAAAGGCCGAAACGACCACGGCATCGTTCCCATTGATCCGTTGTATTGCCCTGAATTCCAGTCCGCGGCGACAAATGGAAGCTTTTACCGTCGGAGAAGAATCAACCACATGGGATAAAATCAATGTACCAATTTTTTCTCTTCATTTTATCTCCCTTTTTAAGTTTGCGTAGTGTACATGGCGGGTGATTGCATGAGAACTTTAATAAGCACCGATTTCATGGTCAGAAGCAATTGACTCTTTTGCATACATTCTTGGTCACGCTCACACACATCACTCGAATTCTCCCATGTTGCGGACTGTCACGGAAGGCCGGTGGGGGTGGAAGACGGAAATGAAGCATTGGTGTCCATAACAGGACGGACAAAATCATTAAATAGATGGTCCAAGTCTGTCGACAATCTGTTCAAGCTTGAGTCGTGCCAAAGCCCCAGACGATGGATGTGAGCCGTGCAGAAGACACGAGACGCTCATGCTAAAGCCCAAGACTGGTCAGGCGTATAAACTTCCTTCACGACTCCAGGAACGGGGCCCCAAGATGATGGGTTCTTCCAGGTCGACGATGGCTCTAAACGCGGAGCGATCGACAGATGAGCCCCGGGCCAGTCTCCCATGCGGACCGATGATCAAGAAGGTGGCGTTTCAGCCCACTGAGTGAAAGCATTCAAGGTCATGAAGTCTGTACAAAAAAACCTTCATCAGAACAGAAAATTGAACGAGCCCGCCGCGTCCAAGCCGTGGGACGATGTGCAGCGGAGCAACAAAATACTACGACGTGGGAGCAGAGCGATGCTCAAGAGAATTGAGGGATGAAGGTGACTCTAACAGATAGTGAACTAGGTGAATGTTAACTTGCAGGGTCGCTTCACGGGAGACTTTCGTTTCTCGGTTAAGTCAATTTGCTCAGGGCGAAGCGAAAGGATCGCCAAGAAACCGCGATAGGATTCGGGAAAGGCACCATCCTCCCCCGCCTTGACCCACACCTCAACTATCAACATGTCTTAAGTTAACTTATTTCCATATGAGCTTACTTAGGGATTACCTCTTGACCGGTGTTTCACAGCTTAATTACATACTATAGGCCGCGAAGGCTCATTTCATAGCAATATATTTTCAGCAGATCGTGGTATCCTTGCTGTGGAGTAAGCACCCACCTCTGACGCGGAAGAAGCTCGTGGGGGCTGAGAAGTGATCTTCTTGCGCGAGCTGCAAGCGATATCCGACAAGGCTGTCTCTCTGAATACTTTCTTCTCTCCTTTCTGACAGCTCTTCACGCAGATATCACAAATTCTCTCGCATACGCCGCCTACAGCGCCAGAGCTATGTAATTTATCTACTAGAACAGCTCCATTTTTAAGCCTTATACTTAGGATAATTCAGTAAATTGTTTTTCTAGTTGCGAGTCATTATTAGTGTATATCGATCATAGCCCAAACTGTGCCCTAATGCGACGGGTGGCCTAAACCAACAACTCCTTGAACGGATTGGAGCCAGAATACTGTATCCGAGGGAATCTTTGGAGCTTTGACCGCGTTTAAGGAGCAGATCGAAAGAACGGGGCGCCAAAGGGTGCATTATGATTGATGCAAACAGAACTGGGATATGGATTTTGATCTGTCCATGTAAAGTCTTTCTTTTTCTTCTAACAATTAATAAGACGAACTGACATGGAACGTCTCTAGCCTTTGCGGCTTTAATCTCGAATGGCGGGTAGGACGCTCAGGAGCTGCGCCTAATGGTTAGGGAGAAGTGTACAAGTTACAGATGATTTTTTTTGTCTCTCTGATAAACAATACTGTTGACAGTATTCCTGAGACGCGAGCGGGCTTCGCCGCCTTCGCTTTACGGAGAACCTTTTTGCAGGCGCCGTGAAAACACGGTCTTGGCGTTCCTATCCACCCCAATGATGCCCGTGGATTGGATCAAGATTTCATGGATTTGGATCGACCCCCTCTGGATCGGCCATGGATTGGTGCCTAGAGGCCCAAAATTTGGATTGGATTTAGGGGGGGGGGGGGGGTGGGGTGATCCATCCAAATATGATCCATCCATAGTTGGTGATAGGCCCGATTTTAGTGTTGCATTAGTACTGCATATACTAAGCAAACTGCACATACATTAGCCTCTTATTAATCAAATTTATTTGTGATTCTCTAATTTATCCTGATAATGGTAAAGCGACATGATATAAAACGTGCTCGCACCAATATAGCTGTGAGGAACTGAGTGGGAACATACGCACGGTATAGCTGCGCTCAGGCCGCGGGTCACATGCTCCAGGGGGAAGCAGTATTTAAGCTACGCACAGTGTCCACCTTAGTTTTACTCCTTAGTCGTCAGTCTTGACACCAATTCATACTCATTACTCCCCATCCTGATATCACGCTTACATTCGCCCCTTACAATACTACAGGAGAAGGAGAAGGATGCCATTGAAGATGGTTCAGATAATAGTGAATCTAAAGAGAGTAATTAGGGCGATGACGACTTTTATAGTATATATTATTTAGTAGAGGATTAGATGTATAATCTATAATATATGCTATAGACATAGCTAACGTTCTGTAGTAGAAATTAGGTGAATATCACCACTATTATGTCATCTATTATGACTTTTGCCACTATTCTACCCCATGGATGGATCAGATTTGGATGGATTTCGCCATTTTATGGATTTGGATCGGGTTCATCTATAGTGGATTTGGATCACATCGAAAATCCAGCCAAATCCAATCCACGGGCATCACTGAGCTGAACCAAACAATACGCAATCTTTAGTACCATCGTGGTCATGGATGTCATATGACTTTATCAAGTTTTTACCTGAAGGATATATTGAAATTCCAAAGGGTGGAGTCTGGTTTGGATCTGACCAGAGGTTATATGCGCGGATGTTCAAGCCACAAAATTATGAGGGAAGAGAAGATATGGAGCGACATATGGACCTGTATAATTACAGTCAAAAGATTGAGGAGATTTGGTTTGACAGAAATATTCAGGTTGTTGAAGATTGTGTTGTTGTTGGCAGAGATGTTTATGGCTGGTTGTTACGAAGTAACTGTTACAGAGTAACATGGGAATCACGTGAAGAAGCGATCATGTTGATCATTTATGATCAAGGTGATCGACTCGCATAAGCGAAGGGTTGCGATTCGCCCAAAGGAAATGGACGAATCAAGAATACAGCCTGTGATCAGTCTGATCATTTATGATCAGAATGATCACTAGGTTTCTTATATCTATAAAAATGTCCTGTCCCTTCCTTCACTACAGCTCTCCGTAATTCAACTGTCTAGTTTATCTAGTAGTTAGTTTGAATACATTCTCATACTCTTGAAGCTCATGCTATTCTAAGTTATAAATATAGCTATCTTATTATATTCCTTCCATAATAAGCTCTGGTTATATCTTGTTCCTTTGCTCTAGGAAGCTAAACCCTTCCGAAGTGGCTTTCATTAGTGAAGCTAGTCGGTACTGGGAAAGTATTCCTAACACTGGTTTATTTTACTGGTAATAGCAAAAGGTGGTAATAAGTATTCTAGGGTTGGTATTGGGAGAATTCAAACAGAATATATTTTGGAGACTTCCAGTAAGGGAATTCTTATTTAATATTAATAAAAAGATAAATATTGGGAACCTTTTCCTAAACCGACAAGACTTTACTAGCGTAAGTTACTTCGGAAGGGATGAGCTTCCTAGAGCAAGGGAGGAAGGGACTTCTGTAGTATGTAGGAAGAGGATTAACACACTGACAGAAGTCTTTATGACTTAGGATAGTCGTACTTCGATAGATAGGAATGGATCAAAACTAACAAAGTAGATAAACTAGACAGTTTAACTACAGTTTCTAAAGACTTGAGGGAAATTGTAGTCCTTTTATAGACAGTGTAGATAAGTGATCATTCCGCTCATTCACTGATCACCATGATCACTTCGTACAGTCCATATTGGCTTAATTTCATAAGACCAATAGGCTCCTTGCCTATCATGCACCTGCTCATGCTGCTCATGCGATGAACAGACTGGTCACTCACGTGATCAAATGTTATTTTATAACACTGCACTACCCCAAGCTATAAAACCTGTCTCATCTTTTTAATCATACCTTTCCTTAATAAGCCCTGATAAACCTGTTGCCGGGTCCCCCTAGGAAGTTCATCCCTTCTGAAGTAGCTTGTATTAGTAGAGCTATTCAGTATTGGGAAGATATTCCTAATAATGGGAACAGGCGAGAATGGCTGCAACGGTACAGAAACTTCTTTAAGAAAGACTAGATAAATAGGTTTGTCAGGCGCCTATCGAGATGCAAGATTATGTATAAAAATATATGTCAGCTATCTTACAGTGCAGACGTATTTATGGAGAAACTTAAGCAGAGAGATGTCAAAAAAAGTGCCACTAGGACTTGGAGCTGGAAACAGGTGCTACTCGTCATATATTATGCACGCTCTTTTCAACGCCAGGCACATATGATTCGTTGGTCTATATCTTGTATAGATATATCAATGCGTCATGTTTATAGCCTCATGTTCATGGCCTCTTAATGAGTTCGACCATGTCAAGGCTCTCAACAACGTCGAAGTTAGGCCTATGTTCCTCGGAGAGCGCTGCATCCCCAGGCCGTTTAATACTGATAGATTATAGACGCGCATCCCTCGCGGTTGAAATCTCGGCGTCCGCGTTAGCGATGCCGTCTTTTGCTCCGAACAAATGACCCGACAACGCAAACCTTCATCATTGTCGCTCAAGAACGGACACTCGCCAGCGTCTTGACCGAACCTCTTGACAATCTTGGCGTAGCCCTCGGCCACAATTTTTGAGCCCGCGAAGGACGTTTGTCTTTCCTGTTCGGGGGGAAAAAGGTCCGGAAAGGTGCACGCGCAGGATGTGCCGTGCTCTCCAGCGCGTGGTTCTCCTGGGCCCAGAGATCTGACGCGTACGCTCAGGATCGACGTTGGACTGTCGCGAAAAGCGACCGGCCAAACGTCGCTTGCGCCGCGCGTTGGGGTCTGCCTGTTCCTTTTCTTCCTCTCGATTCTGAGGCTGCGTTCGCTGCGCGACGACGTCGTACTGCTTTGCGGCAGGTATATGTCTATCTATCCATCCTGTCAGCCTATATTTATGCGTAGATATCAATTGGGACGAGCGGGTTCCTGATTGCTTCGGTCGCGCGCCCCCGTGGGCCGCCCGCCTCGCGCTCTTGTTGGGGGAAAAAACGTCCCCCTTTCAGTTCCGGGTGCCGAACAGGTCTAGCCGCCGTGCCGCGTCTGCATGGCCGCAAATGGAAGCGCAGCCTTCCCTCCTCCGGACGTCTCCATCGTCCACGCCAGCGAGCACACAGCGCCGCCGACGACGACGAACACCACGACGACGACGACGACCATCCCAGAGGAAGACGGACTCGCTGGCGACGGCGCGGACCCGCTGCCTCGCTACACTCGTTTTCTGGCGCCTTTTCAGGCATTCTCCGGCCTCCTGCTGCCGCTGTTCCTCCTTCCCCTCAGCGTCCTTCTGCTCGTCACCTTGGCACCGGACGAGGTCATGTCTTCGCTCGGCAACTTCTTCAGGGTACGCCTGCACTCGTGCTCCCTCGCTCTCCTACGCGCCGACTGATCGCCTGCGGCACACAGGGTTTCATCTTGCCCGCCTTGATTGCGCTGGGCCTGTACTTGCTCCTGCACTTTGCGCTGCTCCCGCTATATCGCCGCCACCGCGCGCGTTACTCGCAGTATCTACCCGTGCACACGCAGTCTCCACTCGCCACGCTCTCCTCGTCCACGTCGACCCTTCGTCAACACCTGCTCGCCTTCCTGATACCTTCCCGCTGGGCTGAGTGGAGATGGGCCCATCGTCGAGGGGAGCGCGTTGTCAATGCCGCCGACGGCGGGGACGACGACGAAGAGATGGGCGAGGATCTGGAGTTCGACCTTCATCTCGACGGTGAGCGCGGCTTGGCAGCAGAGGAGAGGAGAAGGCGAGATGGTCTAAGCTTGAGCATGGACGGTCGAGCCGGGAGGGGCGCTGACAGTGACAGAAGGCTGAGTCGGGAGTTGGAGGAGGGATTTGCAGATAGCAGCGACGACGAGGAGGGAGATGGCCATGGCCGGAACGGAGGGAGAGGATAAAATCCGTTGCCATCGCTCCCTTGTTTCCTTTTTCTTGTACAATCTCGCTACACTTACGTGGAAAGCCATGCCGCGGGTTTTGAATGTACCCATACGTTGTGCAATATTGGAAAGATATACGGCAATCATGACAAGTGTGGAGCGGGTGTGAGCTTGGCGTGGCAGCTTGCGGAGACCAAAGGCTGCAGCTCTACACAAAATCAATAACTAGAGATGGCAATAGACGAGTCGTTCCTGAGAAAATTCAATGGTTACATTTTTTTTTTAGTTTCTCCCCCCCTACTTGAGGTAATTCGACAAAAGATCAGCGTTTACTTCTTCTCCCGCTGGCCGTACGCCTTGGTGGCGTATTCACCCTTGTGCACAATCAGGTCCTCCGGTCTGTAGTCTTCACGGCCGGACCAGTAACTCTCGAGGATAGATTTGACGCCAGCTGCGTACCGTTTCTGGGCGTCGATGGATGTGCCGGACATGTGCGGAACCATGGCATTTCCGCCACCCCACGGGTTCTTTGCGTATCGGAGAGGATGGTCCTTGGGCGCAGGCTGTGGGAACCAGACGTCGCCACCGTAGCCACGGAGATGGCCAGACTTGAGGGCCTCAGCGACATCCTCCTTCACAACGATGGCGCCACGCGCTGTGTTCACGAGCCAGGAACCTAGAAGATTAATGTGTTAGCAAAGGCCAAAATCTCGCACCAGGACAGGGAGCCACGTGAGCAAATACCTTTCTTCATCTTCGAGATGAGGTCCTTGTTGAACAGGCCACGGGTCTTCTCGTGCAGTGGACAGTTGATGGTGACAACGTCGCACTGGGCCACCATCTCTTCCAGGTCCATAACTCGCCTGCATCCAATCTCCTTCTCCTTCTCGGGTGTCAATGGCTGGTAGTCGAAGTACAGCAATTCCTTGCAGTCGAAGGCCTTCAGCCTACGTAGCACTCGCTCGCCAATGCGTCCTACGGCGACAGTGCCGACAACCTTGTTCTCCAGGTCATACTCGTTCTTGGCAACCTCAGCCACGTTCCAGTCGCCACGCTCGATCTGCTCATGTGCAGGGACGAAGTTGCGGACCAAGGCAAGAATGGTCATTACAACGTGCTCGGCGACAGAGACGACGTTGGAGCCTGTCACCTCAGCGACGGTGATACCACCATTGGTCTTGTTTGCGGCGTTGAGATCCACGTGATCCGAGCCAATGCCCGCCGTCACAGCGAGCTTCAGGTTCTTGGCCTTGGCCAGACGCTCGGCCGTCAGGTAGCCTGGGTGGAATCTGCATTGGGAGAAGCGTTAACACTGCCTCATCTACTGTGTCGATGCACTCTTTTCTCATGCGACACGGTCAAGTGCGAAGGCAGGGTCGTCTACGGGGTACGTACGGAGTTGTGATGATGACCTCAGCATCGACAAGGTGCTGGTCGAAGACCGAGTTCTCGCCGTCCTTGTCGCTTGTGGTGATGAGCTCGTGGCCCTGCTCCTCGATCCACTTCCTCAACCCAAGCTCATTCTCCGTTGTTCCGAGCAACTGCGGCTCCTGCTTGGCGTGTTCACCACCCTACGGACGGACACGCGTTAATAGTGTGGTTCGGCACTTGCATTCGGATGCAGAATAGCAAGGAAGGGAAGGACTAAGGGTGCTTACATCGTACAAGACAAGGAGGACCTTTCCCTGTTGACGTGACGTTGCAGTTAGCCTTCTAACACAGCCCAAAACTGCATGTTGTACTGAAGACAGGGTGTTTGTGGTCGGACGAGCAAGCAGCGGCGGCCGTTGCGGGGTAGCTGCGAGCGACCTGTGAAGAGCGGGGCGCGCAGCGAGACGCGACGAAAAAACAAGGCGGGTGGCAAGTACCATTTTTTTTTAGAGAGAGTTGCTGAAGGAGATGCGAAGAAGCAATTGACCGACGTGTGATATACTGCTAATATGGAGGACTGTCGGCTCTCGCGCTGGCGTTCGATTCAACCTGTTCATTGCTTTGCTCAGCCCGAGACCATGCAAGCCGACCGAATCGCTCGTAAACGGCAACGCAAAGCGCCGGGCCCGCGGATGCACAGCGGGCTCCAAGCGCTGTGTTGCAGATGGTCGGCAGGAGGGATTCTTACCGGTGGTGACACAAGGCTATATCTCTCGCAGCAAGGCTGACCGAAGAGAAGGTCGAGCTGTGTAGATGGGAAAAAAGGGAGTGGGATGCAAAGAGAGAAATGGGAGAAGCATCCAGGTTATAAATATTACGGATCTGTGAGCTCACACGGCGACCTCATGCTTGTATCCATCGCTTCTCCACCAGGCGAAGTGTGCCTGGAACGTTTGTCCCTTCGATCCCGTCATCCTGTGGCCTCCACCTCGTAGCGTCCCCTCCGTGGTGACGCTCGTTGGCGAGCATAGATCTGGTTAGACCAAGCAAGGATGCGCTGCGGGGTGAGGCTGCTTTTCGAGTCATTTCTGTATAAATTCTCGAAACGCGGTCTCATGCAACATCTTATGGAAATTGTAGCCTGCTTTTGATTGTGTGCAAGACGTATGGCTCCGTCTGGCGCCGCTGCCGGCTGCTCGTGAATCAACGCCATTCGTCCCAGCTGGTTCGCATCTGGAGCTGTGTCTTGGAGAGCTGGTTCGCAGGAGAGCTTCCCTTGCCTGAGCTTCCCGGTCGGGAACGCAAGCACGCCAAATGGGTAATACTGTTGTCCAAAGAAACCCCAATGTAGGTCTGGTTGCGGCCGGACGAATGAGATCCGGCAAAGCCATATCTCGGACAGGCATCTGGCACGATGCTCAGCGGCGAGCATGCTACGCAGTGTCAGGATCTATGGGCGCGTTGGTAGCAAACGAGCCAACAGCGAGCAAACTCCGAAAATTGGCGCGACCTTGCCATCAGCTAGCATCGATCGATCAGGAATGCAGGAAACTAGATCGCATTCTAGGAAGCAAACACGATGACTTTGCACGAAATGCGCTTCAAAACAGGTGCTATAATACGGGGTACAGCTTCGAGCAAGAGTACATGCGGACAGGCCCGTGGGACCATGGGAGCAATTGCCTACCAAAAACGGCAAGGGCTTCCGCTCCGGCCACCTCGCAGCTAATGGAAGGCGATCACACCCAGCCCCATCCGCGTCCTGCGACCGAGATTTCTCCTCCGAGACAAATTGTCTCATGTAAGAAGACTTGTAATAAGAGGACAACTGCGCGGCCACGTGAGGTCATGAGTCCACCCGCTCCGGTCCTGCGCTTTGTTCTTCTCCGCTCTTCTGTCTCCGCCAGCAGCATTGGTCCGAAGGATCGATAGGAGTACCCGCAGTTGACTGTCGTATGCGACAGGCTTCATGACGAATCGCTTGTGATGGGTTCCCAGCGCGTACCTGCTCCTGCAGATTGTAGTTTCATTCCCCCTCGCCAGAGCTCCTTGATCAGCCTGCCGCCAACAATAGTTTCTTGCACAATCCCCTCGACGTGCTTCGGCTCCACACGCCCATACCACAACGCACTGCCACTCAGAGAATGTCCGTTAGCCCGGGACCATGTGGGTGGGATGTAAATGATGACGTTGCCTGCCCATTTGTGCCCGCCAATATGGCTCGTAAGCCCTACACGCGCTGAATTTGATGCTGCAGTTTCGTCAGAATTGCGTTGCTGTGGAAGTACCCTTATCGATGCATAGCTTAGCTTCTCTTCAAACTCCTTTTGTAAGGGAAGCCCAAGAGCCCCGCATCGGCTGTCTCGTCCGCCATGCCCACAAACAAGAACAACGACTTCATCCACAGGTTGCGAAATGAGATTGACGCCATTGCCCTGGTAGCCTTCAAGTTGTCCTCGTATGATGTCCTCCTCTTTCTTCGTTTGACTGGCTGCCAAGTTGCTCTTGTAAACAAACTCTTGGATCAAGGCATCGAGAATCGAATGATACACAGACAGGCTTGCGGTGTGAGGCAGCGTCACATATTTGAAAGACGGAAACAAGTAGACAGATGTAGGTACGGTAGGCAGGTCATCACCTGTTGAAGAGCCAGCTGGGGAAGTGGCTGAAGTGCTCGAAGCGGAAGAAGGAAAGGACGCATTGGTTATTATATGCGGGCTGTAGGGCTGTGTTTCTGTCAGCAGCATCCCCGCTATAATCGACCGTGATAGCGCGATAAGTGTATGGGAAACTCTCACCAATGTCCAACACTCTCCCAATCGCGGAATAGCCTAAACGGAAGGAAGCTTGCTTGACACGGCAGACTGCTCTTGATAGGGTCCTGGTCTCTAAGCTTAGATAGCTCTTACATTGTGGTACTTTCCTGGCGTGATGCCCGAGGCTTTGGTTTGTCCACGTTTTCCTGGTGGACCCAATAGTGTCTTGATGTGCCTAGTCACAGGTCCGGTTCTGGTATCCATTTCGATCTTACTCGCCCAGTCCTTCTGGCCTGTGCAGACCAGGATGTGATCTCTGTAAGGGCTAAAAGTCATATTACTATGATGGTCTATGTCTAGGTTGGCTGGCATGGGCTGACAACCGCACGTCGGTTCCGGACATCGACTAAGCCATTGCAGCGTGCTGCGGGTGCTGGTGTACGCATTTGAGCAACGGTTCAAGGACCGTATAGATGGCCTCTTCATTGATGCAAGTTCAAGAGCGTCGACGTCTCCTAGAAACTGTGCTTATTGGAAGGTAAGTCGACGGGAGATTCAAGCTGGAGGAAGAAGGCACGACTCCACATTTTTTTTCAAAAGAGGAAAGTTCAACCAGCCATCGAGGCCGCCTGTGTGCGACGTGTTTCGAAATTGCCACATCAATATTTTGCTCTTTTCGCATGCCTCGTCTCTCACCACGATTGTTGAAATTAGCTTGGAAGGAAAATCCACTTCTTCCATTGTTGCTGCGAGCATGTCGTGACCTGAATTCCGCACGCCTCGAGCTGAAATGGCTTCGAGAACACGCGCAAGAGATGGCCAAAACGAAGCGATGCACGCCTTGGAAATCCTTACTACATCAATTCTGTCGGGCTAGGTCTTTAGGACAGCCAATACAATATATATTAGGCACAGAATTTTTTGGCGAGCTCGAGCTGATATGTAGACCTAATGTTCTCATTCCAAGGTCATAAGTCCGAACACTCTTGAAAATGCCATTCTGACCCGTAGGCAGACAAGACACCTCGGCGTGGGTTTTGCATCTCGTGGAAGTGCTCAACAAAAACGCCGCGCAGCTACCTGCAAACATCAAGGTCTTGGACCTCTGTACAGGATCTGGCTGTATCCCACTGTTGTTTGCCCATGCATTTACAGGTTTGCAAGCGAGTGGCAGCACTTCGCTCAAACTTCTAGGTATCGATGTTTCAAGCACTGCAATTGAACTTGCAAATAGAAACAAAGAAGAGCAACTGACACCGGCCTCCGAGTGCACAAGTAAACACCTTGAGTTTTCGCAGGCAGATATCATGAGCGATGACCGATCATCATCCTCATCCCCCCCCTCGCTGCTTAAAGTTCTTGACGATCGGGGGCAATTGCAATGGGACATCATATTGTCCAATCCTCCCTACATTTCACCTGAGCAGTTCAACCGTGTAACCGCACGTTCGGTCCGCAAATTCGAGCCGAAGCTTGCACTGGTTCCTGAGAGTCAACACAGACGCTGGTCTGGCGCGGAAACTGGCGATGTTTTCTATCCTCGATTGCTTGAGCTAGCTCGACTATTAGAAAGCAAAGTATTAGTAATGGAAGTTGGTGATCTTGATCAAGCGAAACGAGTTGCCTCGCAGGCACTTGGAGACGGTCGGTGGTATGGTGTTGAGATTTGGCGAGACGAGCCGCGGACACCTGACGAGGATGAAGCAAGGCATGGGTGTGTGCGCATCCGTGGAAGAGGGAATGGTCGAAGCGTTATTTGCTGGACAGAAGAAGTTGATACTTGGTTCAACACGCATTGACAGGGAGCAATAACTACCTTTAGATCTGTATAATCATGCGCAACATCGAGTATGGTACGCCACACTATGCAATCCTCGACTATTGCCTGTCTCTGAGTTTCACTTACAGTTCTTGTTCGAGATATTTCACGTATAATGCAGAGTGCAAAGACAAAGGTTTTGGCCGTGACTTCCGTCCGACTGGAATTCCAAAGTCAACGAATTCTTGTAAGTACTAGTCGTAAACCAACGTGGCTATATCGCGGAGCACTGGGCGACGAGCTGTCAGATGATGAGTTTCGACCCATAGCTCATCATGACTTCAGGGGGTTGTAGTATAAGTGACGAATCTGCTGCTTTTGACGGTTCATCCGTCTACGCGGCATCATAGGCGCAGCTGGCGGCGCTAGAAGTTGCAAATCTTCTGCTTCATAATTGAGCCTATGAAACTTTTGCAAGGATAGGAACACGCCACGGTTCAAAGTTTCTTGAGAAGGATATATATTGAGATATACTCACAAACACGTGAATGCCGAGTAGTTCTTTCGATGCAACGTGAGAAAAGGCAAAGCTCATTGGTTTTCATCCACAACGACTTTGAGTTTTCATCACTCAAGCCTCCGCAGTCTATATTCTTGTGAAGCAGAAGACTTTGAGATAATATGCGAAACTAATGTAGCATACGTTGCAGCCAACTGTCATTTACTCCATCACATCTCTGCTTCTAACCTGCACCATGATCCGGGAGCTGCGCTCTTGAGAGATTGAGGAAGTTCTGATTACGCTAGCCCCTGATCTCCGCGGCTTCGTTTATGTTTCCAAAGAATTGCACCAGGTACAGCTCTCGCGAGGTCAAAAGCTCAGTCTTGGCCTCCATGCCCTGTCTCTTGGTGGTCGCTGATGGTTGGTGGAACTATATTGCAACGGAAAAACTTTGATGCTGTTTCTTGTAAACTCGCGTCACATGAGACCCAGGAATAACTGGTGTTCTTCTTGAATTATCATGAATGCAGCAGAGGCGGTTCTCGTGATCATTCCAGTAACCTCATAGTTGGTACTTCCACAAATCAAAGATTCAGTTTGAAGTTTCTCTTTGCAACTTTACAGTCAATGATCAGCATCCTCGGCTAAGGAGAAAATCATACTAATTAGCGATGCCTGGGGAAAGTCCGGGGCTGCACAACCAAGAAAATGCATCTCCGCAATCAAGGAAGCCACTCGATTCGAGAATGCCGATCTAGATCGATGTCCGCATCTAGATGCCGAATACGATGACAGATAGCCCCTTGTCATTCAGAAAAATACAGCACGACAGACCACTGTCAAATTACGAAGTCATGGGACCTTACATTTAACTTACACACATCAGGAATAATACCGCTTCATTTGAGTTTTTGATCGCTTTTGAACATGAAGCTGATATAGTCATTGACGTGCTCCCATAAGTGGACCGTCTCCCTGTAAACAACGAAATGAGGCAGGCCCCCCCAAGAAAAAGGAAAAAAACAAAGAAGGAGAAGTAGAAGAAGAAAAGATCGCGCATCCTATTAACCTATAAATTTCTCCAGTTGGAGCATATGGTAATGGCATAACAATTCTGAACCCCTTTCTGAAAATTATGGTACCAGTCACGAAAGGATGAGAATTTTATCACGACGTTAGAACTGCACGGTTTCTTGAAGGACCTGAACTCAAAGTCCTGAATATGTTAAATCGATTGCTAAGTGATAAAAATAGTTTCTCGCTTTAAGAAGTGTGATCGAAATGACCACTAGTCGAAGTAATAAAAATTCCCCAAACTTTTGCACCAGTCAACAGACGATCAGCAGCTAGCCCCGCTTGGAACGTTGCTGCACTTGGTTGATTTCTTTCCTCCAGTGACAGAAACATCCTTCCAGGTCCAATCGGAGCAGGCGCCAGAAGCACACAGAATGTAGATGTCCGTCGCGCTCGAGGTCACAGTTCCCGTCACACCGTCCAAGGTCAAGTCGGTGATCGGAACCCCGCCCGTAGGCGTGCCAGTCGGGCTGCCATTCTCGTAATCCTGCTCGATGACGATGCCGTACTTGGTGATGCCACTCAGGGTGATGTCGGAGTACGTGACGTCCTTCACAGAGCCGGTGGCGCCGTAGACGGTCTTGATGCGCACGCCATTCTGGGAGTTGATGACCTTCGAGTTGCTGATCGTCACGTTGTAGACGTCGTTGTCGTCCCTGCCTCCGACGGAGCCGATGGAAAGACCGTGTCCGCCCGTGCAGCTGCCACCGGTGAAGACGATGTTGCTTCCCGAGTTGATGGCGAGGCAGTCGTCTTGGTTGTGCACGACGGCATTCTTAATCGTTACGCCGGTCGAAGTGCCCACGTCGAAAGCGTCCGTGTTGTGGCCAAGTCCGTTAGCGTCGCCAGCAGAGTCGTCGATAGTCACGGAGTCGATGGTCAGGTCGGTACAGCCAGAAATGGAGAAAGCCTGCACAGGTGTGTTCTTCACATTCAAGCCCGTGATCGAAGAAGAGGTAAGGCTCCCGGCTTTGAAGAACTTTGGCTTGGTTTTGCCGCCGTTGCTGCCCTCTCCATCCCACCACAGTTGGCCTTCACCGTTGATGACATGGCCGCTGGCTCCCGTGATCGTTTGACCTTTGCCGGAAAATTTAATTAGAGGGCCTTCCCATTCCTTATAACCAAAGGTTGTAGTTCCACTGAAAATGAACTGGAGATGGGTCAGCATCGACATATTCTGGAATGAGGGGGGGGGGGGGAGAAGTTGAACAGAAAGACATACATGAGTATTGTCAGCTGCGCCAGAAAGATCCAACGTTTCTCCCGCCGGCACTGCAATGTTGCTGAGCACGACGGTGGCACAGGACTTCGCAGAAGCGCTTGCTTGCGAAGCAGCAGTAAAGGTACAGCTAGTCGCTCGCTTTTCAATCAGTCCAGCATCCGGTGCACTCGTCACAGCAGGGTCAGCGGCTGGAGCTGCTGCAACCCCAGCCAGTAGGGTCAGAAAGGCGGAAAATGTTTGGGATTTGACCATGTTTACACCTTAGATGTTCGACGGTCTCAATAAGAAATACTGGGTAACGCAAGAAGAAGTGAATAAACGAATGAAACGGTCTTTCAAAGACAGACGGATGAAGAGACTGCTGTGTCGCGAGTGATGAGCATCGTAGAGGCTGCTCCAGACGCTTATGTAGTCATCTTGATGTCGTTCTATTTCTTTTTTTTGGACGGAAGAATTATTATCAGATTCGGCAAAATCGGTGATTTGAGCTCCATCACGGACTCTGCAAACGTCACACGACCAAATGGCGAGATATGGCTTGAAACAACAGCGGGGCGATAGATGAGCCGTAGAAATATTATCCTTGTCTATAAACGTCGAAGCCTTGAGCCGAACAAGGCAAGGCTTGATAGAGCTTGAATGTGCTTGGCTGTTCTAGCCTTCTCATGACCCGGGCCCTTGGCTCTGCAGGTGGAAAATTAAGCCAGAAAACTCGAGAATCGGCTTTAGAATGAGCTGAGGTCCACGTATCGTGTGTTTCTCTTCATCTCCCTCGTCGTTAATTTGGGTGGGCCTGTAGAAAACGACCCCTGAAGCCGCGTTTCATCTTTAGGTACAGGCCATGAGGGTTTGTGCGTCCAGCATTAAGATACTCCGCGAATAACGTGTATTAGCTCTTTTGTACATTAAGCATAATGAGTATGATCGACTTGGCTTCGACGCTTCTTCTCGACTAACGCTGAATTCGCTATCTGTGAATTGGTATGGCTTGAGTCTTTGGCTGCAGTTTGGCTGCATCGCTTGCTCTGATGACCCCTCACAGCTTTCTTCGCGAACTTCTGAGGCAGGGAAGAAAAGGAAAATAAAAACACCGTGGGTTAGTCTGGTGATAGTTTTGAATAATGAATGCTCGTAAAACCTACTCAGCATTACTTTTAGTTGATTAATCGGATGCCAGTCAATATGGTTTTCTATCTATACACTAAATAGTACTACCCCGTGTTTATTTACAGGCAGCCGATTGGCTGAACGTTTTTCATAGATAGAAGCCTCAAATGAAAGTGACAGAGGAATATTGCCTCTGAAGTCGTCGTGTTCTAGATAAGCCATTTGTTCGCCTTGGAGAGGACGTATCAGGTCCAAGCCTTGCGAGTGTATATATGGTTCGTCAACTTTGTGCTATCACAAAGCTCAAAACACTCTGCCTACAAATGATGGAAGATAGTCTTGCTCAGGCACGGAACTTCTGCCTCTTGCCAAGATTGTTCCCACTCTGCCGACAACTGACGCGGTATACATTTCCATCAGAAGCTGTGGGGGATCATCAAACAAAGGGCTGCTCGGTTATGATCAAGAAGGGTCTCGACTGGTACTTTAGGAATGGGCGCGTTCGAGTCCCCATTCTCACCAAAGCATTAGCCGACGTGAGGTGTTGTTTTTATAGGGGTGGAAACACTAAAGTGGAGAACGGCGAACCAGCGTCGAGGTCGACAGTCCTTGGTTGATTACGGAATACGCACTGCTCGAAATCGACTTATTCGATTTCACAGGCGCCAAGACGGCTGACCAGCAGTGTTTCGTAAGCCTTCCGATATAAGTTATTGGAGCAATTTGTCCTTTTTACGCACACACTTCTTCACATACTTGCGTATGCGAGGAGACTACGCGCTGTCTGTTTCTTGCATCATAGGTTCGGGTTGCAGTACGTGATCACCGTATTTGACGAAAAAAAAAATGTAAATCACGATGGATATCAAGCTTTACATTTTTGTCATATATTTGTTGTACTTAACCAGTGTTGCGAACGGTAACTGCGTCTTGCTACTGTGGACGCGTGATGGGTAAGGGTGCAACCCTCACACCATAACTACTTTTGTGTGAAACCTACTTCATATTTTTATGTCGACTATATGCTTTGTATTTTCTATCGAAGCCTGTGAAATACGTAGATATGGAACTTGCCAAAGCCTATGTTTCTAGCTATCTCGAGACTTATTTGCTCCAAACATAGCGACCAGGAATGGTACGTTCAAATGTCTGTCTGTCGCGGGAGTCAACCTTCAACAACGCACAAGTCACTGATTGGAGTATGGGAATATTCCTTATCAATACACTTTGTATGCAGAGAACGAAGCGAATGACAAATATCTTGATCATCATCATCATCATCATCATGACCATCACTGTAGATCACCAAACTAACAGAAAGTTCCCCCTTTTTGCTACCGGAATCAGTGGAACAAGCTATCCTACGCATTCATCACTTGAGCTCATTGGACAAATTGGCAGCAGGTATGAGCGTTCGGCGTCCGAGATATTGGGATGTTGCAACGCTCCTCGGCGATGAATTCAACTTCATGCAATCAACAAATACGCTGGTGGCAGACAACGAACAAGCAGGCAATGACAGCTACAACACCCGCGAAAGGGCCTTGGGATTCAGGTTTATGAACTGGCGGAAAGAGCAAGAGAGTCACAACTTGCAGTGAACAAAAGCCGGTGAAGCAAAAACCTGACTTGAAAAAGCCGATAAGGCCCAAGACATTGATGGCGGCAACAAGGCACGGATGATTCGACAGCTCTTCGGACTGGAGAAGGCCAACAAAGCCTTAGCACGATTACAGGTTGTGTCTACTGGGCAGGAAGCCAGAAGTTCAGGGATGGCAAGTGATAGCAGCAGATGCTTGATCATGATATGCTTGAAGCCCATTTCGTCGACTTTCATAATTCGTCATCGGTGGTATCATCGTCATCCAAGTTGGCCGCGGCCGACGTCAGATGTGTCTGTAATCGTGCCGGCTCTTGCGAAAGCTTTGTGTCAGCCTCAAGTGCGGCTCTACTTCTTGCAAATGGCAATTCTCGCCGCGGTGGGGGTCTTTCACTCTGCTTGGACTCCTGCGAGCTACGTAGCGCCGAATTCTGCGCCGTATGGCTGAGCTTCGATGGCTCCAGTGCTATTACATTTGGGGGGATGGTAAGACCTCGTCCAACGCCCTGATTTATGTCGAAAGACGAGGCTGAAGCTGCGTCGGCATTATCCTCATCATCTTCTGTGTCGTCTTGATCCTCTAGTGGCTCGGGAGTGGACACATCCGGCATGGATTCTTCTCGATCTGAAGCATTTTCAAAGCCTTCTGACGAATCCTCTTCAGTAGAAATCATGGCAGCGACCTTTCGTTTTGAGATGCGCGATTTCTCGGGAATTCTGGATCCTTTTCTACCTTGTACCTTGTTTACTACACGAGGATTAGTCATTGCTATATCATCTACATTCATAATTGTATTTTCACCTTTCTTAGGATCGACCTTGGCGGTTGCCAACAAACGCTGCTGATCTCTGATTTTCAGCTTCTTCGCGTTGATCAGCTCTGCAAACTTGTGCAAGAGGGCCTCTTCGTGCGCTTCTTTGGCTTGCATCAAGTCTTGCAATTGTTCCTGGAGCTTGCGATTGGCCGCTCTCTGCTGTTCGAGCTTACGTGCAAGTTCGTTGGCATGCTTTCTGGTGTCAGCAATAAGCTGTGCACCAGCAGCACAGCCTGCCCACAGGTCAAACTTGTCATCACTGGTTGGTTCAAGAGTGATTGTGCCAAGCCGTTGCTACTCATATCCGTCAGGGTCGTCATAACGTTGACGTCAGGTGGGAAAAGAGACACGTAGATAACCAAGGTTAGGTAGGGCTCACTCCTGGTAAGACTTACAGTAAGTTCACCAATGTTTCGTCGGATGATCAAGCTCATATAGCCCTCCTTGGCAATAGTACACACGGCCTCGAGACCCTCTAGTTCCGGTGCTAGCTCGCCTGCTGGTTCTTCCAGAAGCAATGCAGCCCTCAATGTGGCATCCCACGTCGCATCCGAGGCTGGACTGCTGGCAGCCTTGAATTTTCTGACCCCGTTTTCCTGGACTGTCCGGGTGCGATTAGCGGAGTTAGAAGAAAAGAGCTTGGAATCATCCATGCACGAAATGTTACCAAAAGAGAGCCGTAGGACAAGCACCGAAAGAGAGTCCAAAAAAAGAAAAGGGAAAAGTTCATACATGTGGCAGCCCAGGCACTTTCGCCCTCCGAGGCGACAAGCTCAAGGTCGAGAGCATTCGCTCCGGTCCTGTACATCAGCACGACGACGATGGAATCATGGTCATCCGTGCGCTTCAAGCGAAGAAGACCTGATGGCTCGGATTCTGGCATGGCTCTTATTTGCCTTTTTTGTTGATTTGTCTGCGACAGGTTTTGGCTGGGATGTCCTGTTCACCAGATTGGAGGAGGGTCCGGCTTGTCCAGGGCGTGGGTAGTGACGAAATAAGCAACAACAAAACCGGCGCGACCGAGGCAACGCACGCGGGGAGAGACGGAGAGAGGGAGCGGATCTTGTGACGGGAAGAGAGAAGAGCGACGGGACGAAAGTTGGGCGACGAAGTCGTGTCACATCAGGCCACGATCTCCAGGCCGTACTTGTTTGCTGGAGCGTCGAGAGCGATGTGTTGCCTGGGGCTGCTGTGAGGCGGAGAACGCGCCAACAGAGCGGGAGGGACGGAGCTGGGGCGAAGACAGCGCCGTGCGACAGCCCTCGCAGCATCATCGGGGCCGCAATTCGGGCACGTCGCCGGGCAGGCCGTTGGTCGAGTCGAACGTCGCGTGCCAGCCTTATTTTAAGTTCTGAGACGAGCAATGAGCAGCGCAAAACGCGTGTTTGACCGTGGGTGTTTTTTCTTCGAGGTGTCACTGCGGGCAGGGGCGCCAAAGTGGGGATTGGCGGCCTGTGATTGGCCGCCAGCAGAGGCACGACGCAGGGAACCCAACCCGTCCGGCCACCTCTTTGACCGACACCACCCATCCACCTGCAAAAGGTCCAAAAGCCTTTGCACCTCTCGTCTGACTCCGACCCTCCGCCGTTCTCCTGAACGAACGTGTTACTAACCATACAGCTTCGCCTGCCCGGCGTGGAGGAGCCGCCGCGATGGCTCCAGAGATTGAAAATTGGGACGATGACGCAGACTTCCAGGGCGACATCAACTTTGGCACTTCAACCGGCGCACACTCGACGGGCTTCTCGTCCCGCCGCTCTGTGAGCGCACGCTCAGAGTCGAATGCTGCCGATGAAGACTGGCACGTTCTTATCACCCCAAGCGACGACGAGGCGACGTCCAAGGCGATAGCCTCCGCCAAACAAGTTGGCATCCCCATTCCCCAGAATGTGCCTCCTTCCGCCCTGCTGGGCGGAGCGATCAAGCGATTAGGAAAGCAGAGAACCCCCGCCAAAAGGAACGTCGCGGACGACTGGGGCGACGACTTCGACCTCGGGGGCAGCCACGAGGTCGGGCTCAAGCTCAAGGTGGGCTTGGGGAAGGAAGGCCCAGTCACGCCGGCCGCGAACACCAACGCCGCCTGCATCGACGACGATTTCGACAGCGAGTGGGCGGAAGGAAGCCTTGGCATCAGGTTCGGAGGCACGCGACGCGACACACGTGGTCGCTCTTCCTCCGTCTCTGCCATGAGTCCCAGCATGGGCAGTTGCACGAGCATGACTGGGGAAAGCGAGGATGACGAGCTTGGCGGTCTCGTGTTCCCCGACGAGCCACTTGATTTCAAAGCGAGGCTCGAGCAGCGGAAGCAGCAGGACAGCGATTTCGAGGACAGGTTCGATCCACCCTTGAATGTGCCAGCCAAGCGCATTCGGCCCGGCGAGGACGACGACGACATGCTCTCGGGCCTGGAACTAGGCGGCGTTGATATCATCGAGCACTCTAAGAAGCGCAACCTGAATCGCAACGTCAAGATCGAGCTTCCAAAAACCCGGACGTCCTCCTCGCGCTCGTCTGTTACGACCATAACCTTCACTGACAAGTCTTCCACGTCCCGGATCCCGCGGCCGACAAGCACAGCCTCCAAGCATTCCCAATTGGCACCTGTTTACGAGACTGGCAACGGCCAGTCCTCACAGTCTACAAAGCAACCTTACCTCCAACGCACAAGCCGGCCTGCTCCAACCACGACGAGTGCTCAGCTGCTGCGACAAAAACGCTCTGCACCGGTCCTCGGCCGGCCAACTGCCGGTCTGAGCAATAGACAGTCTGTGCCGTTTCTTCCTGCTGGTGCTGCTTCAGGTCAGTCGCATAACGTCAATGCTCGAATTAGCCACCAACGTCAGGTTTCTGACCACCATGAACGTCCTATGTCGCCTCCGGCTCGATCCTTTTCTCGCATGAGTGTGGCAGAGCAACAGCGTGCTACACCAAGTAGAACGAGTCAGCGTCGCGATGCTCATATTGCCCCACCTCATCTTGCTCGTGTCGCCGTTAGCAACCAGCGACTGAGGGTGCAAATCAAGCGAGAGTACGGGAAAGGCGATGAACTCGACGCTTTCGATGATCTTCCGACCTCAGCGGCAAAGGAAAGCAAATTCATGAAGGAACCAAAGGCCTATGGCCCCGCCACGCTCCGGCGGAAGGACAGTCGGACGAACCTGAAGATGCAAATGCCAGAAAGATCCGCAACTGCGACTCCGGGGTCGGCGACGACTCCCGCTTCTTCAACTGTGCCTTCGACTCCAGGTGCACCGGCGACGCCGAAATCATACTTCGTTCCTCGGCAGGACAATACCCCACGCTTTGCTCGAGACACTGCAGCGAGCCGCAACGCACGTGAGCAGAGACTCAGCCAACTGTCTACAGCATCCCAACCGAGCTTACGACGAACGGATGGGCCCGTCATGCCTTCACACATCAATTGGAAGGCTCAAGTTGCTGCTCGCAGCCCACACAACAGTCCTACTGCGACTAGAAAGAAGAGCTCGAAGGACATTAAAAAGAATTTCATTCCTTTATCGATGGCGCCTCCAGTTAAGAGTAAGTGGGTTGAGGTCTACGAGTCTTGAATCGGTATTAACGCTTTAGCAGATGAGAAAGGAATGGTCTATAATGCTGCCAAGCAGCGATGGGAGGGCAATGAGAACATGGTGTATAATTTCCCCGATAATCCTTCGACGTCAACGCTCCCACTGCAGCCAACACATGGCATAAATCATTCTCACCATCACCATACAAACAGCATTCCAAGCAGCATAGCCCTTGGCCATCGAGAACCAAATACACTTCCACGACACGGCAGTCCCCCGCGACCAGCGTTGATCGCCAATGTCAACCAGAACCGCGGACCACGCATAGAACGCGGCATGGTCTTCGACCCAGAAAAGCACAAATGGCTCAAAGTTGATCCTCGGCAATTGGATCGGCATGATAAGCCTCTCACACCCGGATCCGTCTCCATTGAAGAAGATGACGATCCATTTGCTGGCATTGAAGATCTGCCGGACGAGCGCAGCAAGATCACACCTGGAATGGGCGGTATAAATAAAGAAAACAATGTCATGGACGATGACTGGAACCTCGGCGAGGAATTTGATCTAGGTCAACGATTCATCAAGCGTCAGCGGATCGAAGAAGTCGAGTGGAGAAAGTGGACAGAGAAATGGTTCATCAATGGCGAAGCGCGGCCGAACGACGGTGACAGCTGGAAATGGGAGATCAGACGAGTAGCGGAGCGATATCAGAACGAGGGCTTCTCATGATGATCCCTCTAGCCCGCTAACACAAATTTTCCAGAGGGGAAGTTAAGCATTTTCGAGCGTTGTCTCTTGTGTTTATATGATTATGGCATTTCTGCGGAGTTTTTAACCCTCATGATGATCATGACTTGATCTAAGGCGGGGTGGCTACACTCTGTACGAATTTCTCTGTGCGAATGCGATGAGCATAAGGTCACGATTGATGAAGATGACATTTGGGATTTCACGATATGAAATAGAGCTTTATAATGGTACTTTGAAATTATCCTTCGCACTTCGTGGTGTTCCTTGATAAGACTTGCGTCGACAATATGTGATCGAGTCTTTGAGCTTGCTGGCCCAACTCATGCATTTTGTCGTAAATTGTCCAGGAGTGGAAACACAATCTCGCTCTTCTAGGCATATAAGCCAGCCAGAAAACCATTGAAACCTCTGATAATGTAAGAAACAAACGCGACGTGGAGCATCAGGAGTGTGGGGAGTATCGCTCGCAAAAGGCTAAAGGTGCTGCATCTCTGATTTCAACGACGACACTCGATTGCCGGTTAAAATGCAAATTTTCCATTCGTGGCTACATAGGAGGTCACATCATATAACCGCAACGTTAAAAAACCATCCATTGGTACCACAAGATCACCTCTTCACCCAGGCCATTTTACGCCCATCGAGTCATACCAAACGAAAACGATAGGAATACAAAGTTCTTGAATACGAGGCACGCAGATTCCGGGACTAAGGAGTACCGGAGGCGGAAAGAGACAGAGCGAGCGAGCCACTGTCGTGCAAGTGACTCGTGACGACATGAGAGTCGTGTCATAGACAATGAAAGGATATCAGCAGCATGCATGTCAAGCTTGCTTCTCAGTGTCCGAGTGAAGGTCCACTGTCTCAAAGCTTTTAAAACTCGAGCTGGAAATGCGGCCCGTCCTTTCAGTAATGCTCATGCCCGGGCGTAATCACGACTGGGCCATTTCAGACTCGACTTCCTTCGGCGTGACTGGGTTGCGGGCACGGTAAGTGTATATTCCGGCCCAAGCCGTCGTCGCGGCAAAGAGCAACCTATTTGTCAATACTTGGTCAGCTCGCGTCGCTTTCCACACTGCACACGTTGTAGGGCAAGCTCCGTACCAGCTGAAGGCGCCGAAGGCGACGGCAGCCTTGGCGATGTTGCACACATTTCCAAAGCACACGCGGCTGCTCAGAAATACGGCCAGCGCGACGAACCCAGCAAACCAGAAAGTCATAGTGAGACCATCGGCGGCGAGGAGCGCGTAGCGATTTGCGGCGATAGCGGGCAGCTTGTTCAGAGCAGCGAGTGACAGATACATGGTCGTGATCAGGCTGAAAACACTGGCGAAAAGCAGCAAAATAATCTCGGCGGGGACCTCGTCCCTCCAGTAGTTGGCCCACCAGTTGGACACTGTATCAAATCCTCGTCAATGGATCGCTGGGACACGTTTGAGGATTTGGTGCGCGTGGCATACCGTAGGATGTGAGACCAAGCTCCACCATTGTAAAAACGGCCTGCGCACCGCGCAGAGGGAGCATGACGTTCACCATTTTTGCAAAAAGAAAGGCCTCTTGGTTAGCTCGACTTGTGAAGGTTCAGCAGGCGTATAGTAGAAGAAGTATAAATAAAAAGGCACAGCGTCCAGCGCAGAAAGGAGTGACGATGCAGCAACAGCGACAGGTATGCTAGGAAAGAAACGAAATGGGACAGGAATGACAGAGAGAAAGAGACTAATAAAAAGGCCGAGATGCCAATCTGCAAAAAGGAACGAACATCAATCATGAGTGAGAAACGGACAAGGTCATGCGTATACAAAACCTGCAAGGCTTCAGGACTGCGACTCGTCGCCGAAGCCAAGAAAGCATGTTTTCTACCGCGAAGATAGGTTCGAGGCGTGTGATGTTTGATGAAAACACATCCCCTGGTTGGGCGCATGAATGTGAAGAGTTTCGGATGAGCTGGCAACCTTTCACCACCCCAGTCCGGAGTGAGCGTGAACGCGTGGTCGATTCCGCGGGTCGCCAGCAATCGATAGAGAGTCCAGGAGCTAGATATCGCACCTTGATGCGAAGAGGATTCCGGGTGCACTTCGACGTAGGCCTTAACTTATGGCAGTTGAACAGGCACGCTGACATCCGCCCTGTGGTGTGGCTGGTTTGCCGTTTCAGGATGTTCGCACCATTGAGCCGGAGTGGCACCGGTCGCCTATCACGGCCATATACTCCTTGAAATGAGTACGGATGCTTGCGTAGCTTCTGCATGTGCGATCGATGACCCTGCGACGTTCTTTGCGCTGCTGGAATCAACCTTAATTTTGAAAATGCGTGGCCTGAACACTGTAGACGGGGAAGCTTTGTCCACAGAGCCGAGCACGTAGACTTCTGAAGTGCATCTCTGACGCACCCCGAACGTGAACAATGCTCTGCTAAGATCTTGGATCGTTTCTCCCAAGAAATGCGGAGTCTTTCGATTCCTCAATATTGTGTCTCCGTCGGCTTGGCATCTCGCGATAGAAATCTTGGCCTGGCTTAAAGGAGAGCGAGGAGACGCGATCGGTCAAGGCCGTTGCGGCGTTGGGGATGTGACAATTGGTCGACTACGGAACAATCGGGGCATGTGAGTACTTTGGAGACAAATTAAGCAGCCAAGAGAGGAGATACAAGCGTCCTCGTTGGAGTTGCTCTGTTGCTTCGATATCTCAAGAGCCGATGCCAGCTGCGCTTGGACTCACAAGCCCCTATGTCCATCCCGCTTGATCAATGTGTTTGTTGCACTGAAAACGGTGGAATTGAGGAAGAATCGACTATTGAATTCTGCTCGCTTTGAGCGAGAAAAAAAATACGGCAAGGACTCAAAAGCTCAAACGCCGCTATGGTTCATATTCTTGATTTTTTTTTTCCTAACAGAATCATACGGTGAAGCCTTCTCGAGCGTTTTCGGTGGTCTTCTCCTTCTTCGCTAGATCTTCGACATTGACTACTTTTCCTGTTTTGATATTCTCTTCGAGCACCTTTCTGCTAACGTGGCATCGAGCGGAGTAGCCCCCTTTCCTCCTGCGGAATTCCTCTATGCCCCAGAATGTTGTGCCGCTAGATGCAGAGCCGCGTATCTCCAAGAGTAAGATGGAAACGACTAGTGCACAGCACGTACCAACTAGCTGAAGGCTGTTCAAGCTTTCGCGCGCAAGTGGTAATAGTAGAATGGCTATCGACACTGCAAATCGGTAGAGCAACCGGAAACCCTTGCGAAGCCGCACGTTTGGTATTGTACGATAAGTATGAGACATGGAGATGAATGTCATGCATATCATAGAGACAGAAAGGCCACCGCAAAAATACCATCGCAATCCTTGAGAAATTTTTTCTTCGGACCGCTCATTGTAGGGCTCTGCTAGCCATTCGGAGCTCGCGTTTCCCAGATCGTGAGCGAGGACAATCTTGGATAGAGCAGCGCCGGCAAGGACGTACGCCATGATGAACGGCAGATGCGCGGACAGCCACAGGAGAGCTTGACGAAAATCAGCGTTTGATTTGAGTAATTTATACTTCAACCTACAAGACCAAAAGTGTCTTCGAATCGCATGTGTGTGCATATTGAATGCGTCAATTTCAAAGTATATCCAGTTATACCTGTTTTGTGATTTAGCCTACCGATGAACGGAGTGTGTTCCGGCCCTTTCTGATTAAAGAGTTCGCTGCCGATGATTGCAAAAACTTACGTGAACGATATGATCAAAAAAAGGACAGCCTTGCCGTAGAAAGCGTTTAAGGAAAACTTTACCGCGCTCTGGTATAACAAAGCAACGACACTATAGCCGAAAACGAGAGCAACAAAAGCATTGGTGCGCTCAATTTTATGTTCGATATTGGCACCGGGAATGAAGTCGTACGTCTTTCGTGCCCACGCCTGCATTTTGGAGCCCATCCACTTCGGACCTCGCTCAAGAACCACAAGCATTGCCGGTCCGAAAAGATCCAGGTATATCGCGGGCCATATGAGTCCTTGGCGCTTCCACTGTCCAACGTGGATGCTGGCTATGTAAAATGCGCTCGGCAGCCATGTGACGACGGCAGTGCTTATCATGGCGTTGCGTACCATTGGTATCAGGTACGCCATCCATAGGAAGTACAGGGTGCTGAGCCACTTCGGCGCCAGATAGAAGGACACCAAAGCGGGCCAGGTGGTATCCCACGCACCACCTATGTTTACGGTGAAGCCAAGCAAACACGTCAAAGTAAAAAGTACAATTATCCGCCGGAGGATGTCATCAGCGTCGAACCAGCTGACATACAAGGACACATCGCCCCAAAACTTCCAGGCAAGAGTAAAGACGACGACGAATTTGAGGAGGCTCTCGCCGTTTGGTGTTTCAGATGCAGCGTCACCCGCGATTGCGATGATACCGACGTAGAACAAATCCACAAAGAGCTCGAAAGAAACAACTTCCTGAAAGCTCTGCGACCGCCAGAGTAATCCTTTGTGGAAGTACTGCCGCATCATTGGGCGCTTGAAGAAAACCAGGGACTGCCCTAGTTTCTTCTGAGCTTTATAGTAGTCTTCGGTAGACGCATGCTCGTCATGGTGGTCGTGTCCTTCGAACGTGGAGGACGACGAAGACGTCGTTCCGCTGGCCGGCAAGGTTCCTTCGGACAAGGTCAGCTTGACTCAAACTTCGATGCGAGTGAATTGCAGCTCACGCAGATGCGCGCTATAACCGAATTTCTCGAAGTTAGCATCCAGCTGAACGGCATGCTCGCTAACCATGTGCAATTCTTTGTTCAGGTGGTCCAGTTCTTGAATGATCCTCTCGAAGCGGTCAAAATCCGCCCCGTAGCGAAGCCTGAGCTGCGCTCGTTCCTCATCTCGGAGTGCTTGGCTTTCCCGTAACACTGCTATCTACTCAAATTAGAAGACCAAGAACCAAACACGGTCAGGAAAACGCTAACATGGTCAGGACTCCCGTGAATCACGATATCATACGAAGTTTCCGGGTGTATTGCACTCAGATATCGACGTAAGCTCTGTTCCTGTTCAGGATGCTGAGCAATATGGATCTTCCTCCCGTCCTTAGGATGAACAAAATGCTTGATCTTTTGTCCTGCATGAACAATGAAGCCGGTGTGGTGATGTGGATGAACTTGCTGGGCCACCGTAGGCGTCGTTGACGAGTCGTCGCTATGGCTTCCTTTCTCGGCAGATTCAAATTTGTTCATATCCCCAAGTCCAAGCAAGGTTTCGCGTTCTGCGGTCGTTGCATATACTCAGAACGCTTTCTTTGTGAAGTTCCAGATCGCGCCCCAGTGCGACAAAGCCATCGAAGGAGAGGAGATAACAAGGCCTTTAGCGTTTGGATCGTCGCCAAAGTTGTTATTTTAAGCACTTTGAAGATCGCAGTCAATTACAATGTATCTACTAACCCAGCGCGGCTAGATTGTATGCTCTGTCAGCAGCTCAGGGGCTTGATAAGTTGAAACCGTCTTGGCATGAGGAATTGAGCCGCAGCCAATTTTGAAATATCAATCGTCGCTATTCTCGAGAAGAATCGAATTAACTCGTAGATTCGTTTCTGTCAACATGATACTACAAACTGTGAATCAATAATTAATCAATGTATGAAGGCGTGCGTCAAGAGTTTTTGATCAAGGCTATGACAGCCACCAGCGCCACCAATCTTGACAAGAGATGCTCAAAGTTTATCCTTATCTGTCCTTACATTTTCTTACTTGAGCTCGGTCTCTGAATTTGATTTCCTCATCATTGTGTGTGATATCTCAACTCGAGCTTTGTACTAGCATTGAAATCATTTCTTTGTGATAAGACAATTGCCTAGATAGCAGAAGCTACTAGCCCACGAAAGCGTACAGTTGAATCTTTTACGCTCGAGCATTTCAACGAGGATTTGATCCTGATGCTATCCCACTTGTCATGAGGGATGAATATCTTGATGACGCCCCTCGATCCGGACGGCCAAGCAAGCAATCTGTTTAAAGAGGCTGTTAAAACAAAAATGTTCCTTGATCGCTCTGCGCACGGGAGCTTTCCATTCTTCTTCCCTTTGTGCAATGTCTTGCTTTGTACTTAGCGCCTACAGCGAGTACACACGCTAATGAATTAGAAATCTTTCCCAACTCGCTACTTCGCCGTTATCATATTGCTCTCTCATGTTCATCTAGTTCTGTGATACGGAAATACTTGGATACGAGAAGCAAATTTTAAAACTGTGAAGTAACAAGTTGGGAAAGATATCCAATTCAGTAGCAGGTGCACTCGCTATAGGAGCTAAGTACAAAGCAAGACGTTGCACAAAGGAAGAATAGCAATAAAGGCGCTTCTTCTGAAATATATACTCAATAATCCTTCCACGTTTTGCCTAATCCGTTCAGGAGGTACATGGGCCGGCCTCAAGGTTGGTTAAGTCTATATCAGTCAACACAAGCTTGAATAAGGTAACAGCATTGTACCTATTATGCATCATGGGTGAGCCTCATGACATAAAGTCAGCATCTGAACCTGAAGACAGTAACCTGAAGTTAGCGGCGAGGGAAGGTATTGCAAATCATGTGATTCTCTCATGAATGACCGTTTTCTGTATGGATAGATCTAAGAACATACGTGCACAAATAGAGGTATATGTCCATCATAAGTGCATCATTTCTCGCAGCAATTATTGCTTCCTTTCCGTCTCTTTGAACGCTGCACAACTGCGATCACAAGCACTTCCTAACTTTGATTTAATTCAACTTACTCAACAGAACGAAAACAGGACAGTGAGCGGCGGGTATAATAACAGGAAGCACTATATAGTATATCCGCTGTGCAGCATACGTTTCCAGCATAAGACTGGCTTTCCTGTTCATTAGCATCAAGTGGTCGTGCGACTTTATTGCTGCTACTTTTTGAAAAATGGTGAAACGAAACAGTTGGAATGATTCACATCATTGGTAGCCCGTGCTATGGCGTAGCTCATTAATATGACCTCTCGGAGTAGATTCAAAATGATCTCGAAGATAAATTAATCTCCTCAAAGGCAGAACGTTAAGTTATAGAGGGACTCACGATCAAGTTGGTTCTTGGTCTGCGAGGAGAAAAAGACGTGCGTTGATTGGTCAATGCACAGCGGGCTCTTCCGAGTTCTGCCACTGTCTTTGATCTGAGCACCGAACCTCAGCTCCTTCAACTACACACCACATGCTCTCTGCAACCATGTCGCAAGTGTGTTTGCGGCCCTAGTATTGCGTTTTCAATCTGCTGATAATGAAACAGGCACCATGGGCTACCCGGCCTGGCCAAAAGGTCTTCAAATCCCGGTTTGCGCCTTCGTAAGTCCTGCTTCCGTCCTACTATTGATGCGACGATTTTTACCTAACATCGACATTGTAGATACAAACCTGGCCCTCACTTCCTTGGTATTACGCCTAGTGCTGTTATGCGATGGTACGTGTTCCGTTCGACGGTTGCAGCTCGGGAAACCTCTCCTCGAAGCAGCGAGCCAATACGGCTCAACAATCTCAGTCTTGATCCAGATGTCGACATGAAGCGTGACACTGACATGAAAACGACAGGGCACCGACGGCAGGCTATTTTGGCGCCGCAACGGGCATCTTCCTATTCTTCTTTTTCGCCGAAATTCCTCGCGTCAGTAAGGACATTGGCGAAAAGCTCCCAATCATTGGTCCCTGGTTCCACAAGGAGATCGCGCCAGAGGACAATCCGTTCTAGATATGCTGTACCGAATCTGGGCAAAGCGCGATGTGAACGAAGTTTCGGGCAAAAGATGTGTGATTAGCGTGTACATAAACTCAGACAAGATCGATAGAGTTGTGTTTGAATTAGCACTGCCAGGCGACAATCTAACAATTGCATCTGCGCTTGCATATTTCGGCAAATCACGCCATCGACCAATTTGAAATAAGACGTATATGCATAGATCAATCGGAGCTCGTTTTCAGTGCGAAAGAGGCCGCTCCCATCACAGGACTTCGTAGTGCGGCGTCGTTTATCTTTATTGGCTCTATCGCCTGGCCTTCGCCGTCTATTCACCTGATAGATGCGGTGTAATGCTACATGCCATTGCTGTGACGCCCAAACGCCTTGCTTCAAGTTTGGTTTGATGCGTGAGTTCTAACGCTTAGTTTTTGGGTAGTCTTCCTACCACCCTCTCCATCTCCTCGTCTGCATAAATTCTGAACCCCTTCTCCTTCGTCACGCTGGCAAGCTGCACATTCTTACTATCTAACTTTTCTTCCATAACCTGCTTCAGTGTCTTCAACACTAGATCTTCGGCTTCCGACAATGTGAGCGATTTGTGGAATTCATTCTGCAGCTCCGCCTGCGCGCCTTCCGATCCGGAGCCGATGGCTTTCGCGTCGTATCGATAGAACGTGCCAGAGGGCTCGGCGTGGTATCTACTCGTCGGTTATTCTCGCCTCAAACACATTTTACCTCGTACTTGGGTCAAAAACAACATACAGACTTGGTCCGTCTTCATCGTAACCAGCAATCAACAATGCAACACCAAATGGTCTACTCATGATGCTCTCCTCGCCCTCGGCGCCCTCGCCAAACCTGAGTGCCAAATCGCAAATTGCCTGCGTGCAGCTCTCCACTCGCAGTGGTTCTGCATAGTTGAAAGCATGGTTCTGGGCTTCGACTCGAGCATGTTCGATCATGCTGCGCGCGTCAGCTTGCAAGCCAGACATCGCGCAGCCGATATGTCGATCTATTTCGACAATCTTTTCCACGGACGATGTTTCGAGCAAAGTCGACGTGACGCGTTTTTCGACTCCGAGAATCACACCCTCAGATGTAGAGACCTTGATTGTTCTATAAGCCTCGTGTATTTTTTGTTGGTAAAGGGGTATATACGCCTATTGCCGTCGAGCCGAGTTTGATGGCCTCGAGCGAGTATTCAACTTGAAAGAGACGGCCTTCTGGGGAGAAGGTACTATGCCACGTCAGCATTGATCCGACTGCTGTGTTCGTATTTGACCATACTTGATACCACGATCTGGGATACAGAATGTTAGCGATGTGTTGCAGTGAGGCTGCAGCAGCCACACTCACCATATTCTGACCGCGAGATGAACATTTTGAAGATTATATGGTGGGGTGAAAACACTGAATAACGGTGATCAAATACTATAGAATCACCTTGAATTCGAAATTGCGCAAATAAGAGCTCTGTAGTCAAAAGTAGAGCTTAACCGCGATCAGCAATACGTGCTAGGCTGCTGCAGCTTGCGCATTTTATGCCTTAGGCGACAAGGTTAAACATTGCCGAACCAGGTACCTCCGCCAGCTCTTTGTATGTCCCCTTACGCTCACCTTGACAAACTTAATGTGGCATAAAGTTACTCAATCAGATTTGGGGTTCTCCCTTCTTCCCACATGCTCAGAACATATATTAAGTCTGTGGATACCTCAAATAGTCCAGGTCTCGCTGCTTACTTAGTCATGTGATACAACAAATCTAACTCGAACTATTTCATTAAAATGCACCATCAGATTTAATGACCTCGTGCGGGCAGGCCTCTCTTGGCCTTATTTTCTCATCTTTAATAACTCACGTTGGCGTTGTTTTGTGGAGATGACGTAGCAATCGACGCGTCCGTCAGGCTTGGTCCATTTTATTCCTTTCTCCCTTTTTTTTGGATCAAAAATCCAAAATCATCGATCCTCAAGCTCGGGTAGCGAGAAGGGACGGCTCCATTCATATTTGTCTACTATTTATATGTGTTTCCATGACGACGACAATTCACGTTACGATGCCGTGTTTTTTCGGACTTTCTGTTCTCTTCGCCTATAAATATGATACGGCCCTAATCTCATTAACGTAGAAAGTATATCAAGCCATTCGCTGCAAAATATAGACGAGAAAGTTCACTAGCGGGAAAGAATTAAAACTGAAACAGTAGCTGAGAAAAGATTAAAGTTACAGTAAATGCCAATTGCTGGTCTACGAACAATCTACAACGATGGCTTATGTAATTCTGCGTCAGTCGTCCCATTGAAGAATTCAGCAAATTTGTCTTCAGTCTCCTTTGCAGCGTCAAAAGTATAGATCATCTTCTGCACATCTGCATCTGCCCACTTGTCCGGAACTCTCCCTCCTTGCTTCACTGCTGCAAATGCCTTGTCTCGTTCCTCCCTTGCTTTGCCCTCTCCTAGATGCAAAGCCTTGCCGCTTTGAGCTGCCAAGTCCACTAGAAGGTATGCTCTGTCTTTTCTTACTTTCTCATACACTTTGAGGGCACGTGTCAAGTCGTCAGGATTTGAGGATGGGCATTTGTCCAGCACAACAGCAATTGAAGCGGCATCTTCGATAGCTTGTGCAGCACCTTGGTTAAGGTGCGGCAGAGTGGGATGGCAAGCATCACCCACCAGCGCTGTTGATTTATAAACCCATGTTGGCAGCGGCTCATGAACTCTCAGCTTCCACTCGCAAACTTCGCCATCCGGTACCAGATTGAGCATCTTCTGAACAGTTGGGCAAAAGTCGTGGAAAACGTCCAACATCACCTTTTTTGAGCCTCTGGTTGTATATGTGGTGTCTGGTGCTGCTGCAAAATTGTCGTCCGGCTGCACTGTGGAAAGGTTGTATATCTGGTGATTTTGGACAGGATACGCGATAATATGTCGCTTTTCGCCAATCCAACGTGTTACACCATTCATGTTGATTAATTTGAGTAGATCTGGGTCATTCTCCATATCTTTCCTATGTAGCATGATCCGGTATGCAGCCTGGTTGGTGTCAATTATCTTGGCAGTAACACCCAGCTCTTTCAGCATAGATACGCGACCTATGCTCTTGATGCCGTCAGCGCAGAGGAGAATGTCACACTCGACTTGGGTAGGCGTGCCATCCCGTGGTTGGATCGTGAATTTTGGTTTCGGCCCAAAACTTTCAATGGAAAGAAGCTGATGAGAAAAATGAAATGTGATCTTGTCACTTTCATTTTGGCATCCTTTGTACAGTCCGCCCGCTAGACTAACACGGTGCCCAGTCATGTGCGGATGCGAATAGGTTTTCCGTATGTAACTCAAGTCCACATGGGCCAGTTCGGCATCTGTTGATCCTTGCCGGATGCTCGTTTCAGTCACGTCTGTTGCCTCTGCCTCAATGGGCCCCCAAACACCGAGCTGATCGAGGATGCGCGCCAAGTTTGGGGCAAGCTGTATTCCCGCCCCGACAAATCCAAGGTTGGACGCATTTTCGTAGACGTAGATTTTCGTGAAACCTTTCTTTGCCAGTGCGAGCGCACAAGCAAGCCCACCCATACCTGTGAAAGATATCAGAGTGTACTCATAACAATATGTAGTCAATAAGGAGTCGATCAATTCATACCTGCTCCAATAATGCAAATATGTAGATCCTTCGGCGCCATGTTGAAATACAGAGACAGGCTACGCAGCCAAAGACAAGAAAACCGACGGCGAACTGGCTGATAGAAGGATTGTTCAAAGCGCGGTTATGCAGTCTTTAAGACCTCCGTTTCCGCCGTTAACGTCGCAAGAGAAATCTACATGAGTTGAAGCCTCCGGTTGCCGCTCGATACGTGGTCTCTTAGGAGCTGGAATTACGGCATCTGACTTCGGGAACTGCGGGGAAATTTTCATCCTCGCTGACGACTTCGAGTCTTTTAAAGCTACTGGACGGAAGCTGTCCGCTTCCTCTAAGCAGCGTCTGCTGGACATTTTACACAGGCTGGACGTCTCACACGGAAGATGTGCAGCCAATCGGATTGTATCTTCCCGCCGAGGGCCCCCAGCCTCTCCACGGCTCATCCGTCATAAACACAAATAGGTGGAAACATGCCACGAAATCAAAGAGTTCTGGCTTGAATTAATGAACTTTTCCTTTTATGTTGTGGATCGTTGGACTCCTGATCCGAGTGGCTGAGCGGAATTCAGCTAGATTGAGATGATAACGTGAGCGCCCAGTGCAAGAAAGTAAGATTCTGCACTCCGTGCGCACCCTCCCCTATGACCTGTGTTTTTCCTCAAGTATTGATAATTCTCTTCTCCATCGTGTTCAGACCCAATTTAGGATGTCCTATTTTTTTCTGGAATAAAAGACACCAAACTCCAAGAGTAGAATATAAATTCTAGCTGTCAAGCCTCAGCTAGTGACTCAAATTCAACTTACCGCTGCCTTCAACGTTAGGACTCAGTCATCTTCTTGGCCACCAAGAACCCCTCCAAGTAGCCCACCAACACCTTTTCCGACACCACCAACAGTTGAACCTAAACCACCAATAACATCTCCTCTCCCCAGCTTGCCAACCCCTTCTCCAACTCCGCTTGTCGTGCTACCCACTAAATTCTTCGTACCTTTACCAACATTGCCAACAACGCCTCCAACGGGACCACCTACGGTATCGCCAAGGCCGGAAACTGCATCTCCAGCGGTATTCCCCTGACATCATTAGTATGATAAAAAGAATTGTTGTGAAACTTATTTCACATACAACGCCTTTACCAGCTCCCGAAACAGTTTTGCCTAGCCCTCCAGTGGCACCACCAATGGCACCTCGTATATCGCCTTGACCGGCAGCTGTTGTCGTATCACCAATAGTCGATTTGAGCCCACTTGTTGTGCTCCCGAGAGTTTTGTTCACGTTCGAAGTTGCTCCAGTAGCAGTTTTGCCAACATTGTCTGTCACATGCTTAACCGGTTTACCGACACCTTGTGTCAAGTTAGCAGCGAACTGGCTAAAAGGAATATCGATGCTCGATCTTAGCCTCCACCAAGCTTTCAGCATAGCGAACAGTTGGTTACGGCGACTGGTCATTCAGGCGAATGAAGGAATCAACTCACCACCTGGCAACCGTTCTGCACCTTTTCCAGCAACACTCGTCACCCCACCCAAGGCAGAGTTTACTCCTGACGTTGCACCTCCGCTAGCTTTGTCTACAACTCCCGTAGTTGCCCCCACTCCTTTATTTAGAGCCCCGGTGGTCATACCGCCGGCTTGACTGATAGAATCGCCTCTACGCTCAAGTTTTCGAGGGGTTTTTTTAACTGGTGTTGGCTTCGGGCTGTCATTGATGGTCGGGGGACCTCGAACTGTAAGTGTTTCCTTCTGTGGCGCTGCACTTGCTGCAGGCGGCTTCTTCGCAACTGAAACTGTCGGTTTGGAGACGGTAGCAGGTTGCCCGGTGCCGGGGATGGGTTTCTTTGTTCCTATAGGAGTGCCTACATCTGCATTAGAGCCAGGAATGTATCAATACACCATATGGAGAAGGAGAGTAGAAGTAACAAATGTGGCTGTAGCCGTCGATGATTCTGCATAAAATCAAGATGCAAATGGCATACGTGTTGAAGTTGATGCCCCCATAGCTGGGGGCTTCTTGACTGGTGTTGGACCATCCGACGCTGCTTTGCTTGCAGTGCCTGGAACAGCCTTTTTGGTTCCTATAGGTGTTCGAGCTGGAGTTGGCTTCTTCGCGGGCGTAACCGCCGATTTCTGAATGCTAGTTACCGGGGCCTTCTTCGGAAGCGTGGTGGACTCTGCTTTTTGCCCTAGTGGTTTCTTAGCTTCGCCAGCTCGTTTGGCAGGACTATTATTAGCGACTTTGGAGATATTCGAGATGCCGGCTATGTATGATGTCAGCTTTGAAATTTAAGCCGTTGTAGATTGCAAACCTTGCAACGCCGCGTTTTGCTTCTTCAATTCATCCAATGCAGACATCTTGTGTGTGTAGATGGATAATTAGGTTTAAGAGTCGTGTTCAATTGATTTATTAGCATAAAGCACTAGATTCTAGTCTGAAATAAGCAATAGATATACCATGTAAAGCAAGATTTCATGCAGAACCTCGTGGCAAGTAATCAACGTCACATTGCATCACCTTCAGCCTTGCTGCCAACATCCCAGTTTCAGTCTTGCTCGGCCCTTCAAAGCTTACGTCAAACCTTGGCACCGCTCACGTTCCGCTTCGACACTGCCACCGTACTGTCGTTGATGCTCCACAGAGCCCGGCATTGTCTCATTGAATTTTGTAAAACAAGGTAGGAGAGTGGCGAAGGGTTTTGTGGCATGCTTGGTAGATCATTGTCGAACTAAAGTCTCTCCGCGCTGCTACTAAGAATATGCGAATGAAAACCCTCACTTCAAGATCGATGGACATATTTCGTGGAGAACGATGATTGAATTTGCCCTTTTTCGAACTAGTTTTTGGTCCTTACCGCTCGATTCATGCGATGGAGAAAATATCCAAAATCAGATTCCGAGTTGTCCTTAAATGTCCATATGACTGAGGAGAGCCAACTGTTCAGGACGGCAGCTTCAGACTAACTTCAGGAGGTAAATCTACAAGCACGATGGCAACGATGCTTTCAAGTCCACTGGCATTCCCAGCTGTTCCAACCAAATAATAGAGGGGCTGTAGGCAACGAAAACGCTGAGTCTCCCTCCCGCCCCCCGCGTCAAGACTAACGCTGGTAGGTTTGGCATCACATTAAGGCGTCAGCTCCAAAACGTCCCGCGGCGGCGCTAAAAGTGTTGAGCATTTTCCTTAAGTCGTCTAGCGCAACGTGCGCTGCTGTCAGAGAGGAACTTCGCTCTCATCACCTCTGCAACGTTTTATGGAAATGGCGCTCTTCGGAACGTTCGAAATGGAGCTCGAAACCATTGTCGATAGTCATCCAGATGTCTGTCATTGCGATCAATTGAAGTCCTAGATCGGAGGAGTTGCCTGTTAAACTTCCGCCAAAACGCGCCGCCGAAGAGGAAAGGCTGCTAAGATGCAAGTCCTCTCGTTTATAAACACTGGTGGACCGGAGTCATGGAAGAATAGGGACTCTAAACGGGTTGTAAGGTCGCATGCTATGAAATATTTCAGAAGGAAGCAGCGGGAACGGAAGAAGAGTAAGATCGGTGAGTTCAAATACATATCTCTGGGGCACAGAACAGATTAAGATCGAAAACTCGTCTAACGTTCGATCGTATCACAGCAGAGAACGACAGCCAACCCGGCGAATCATCATTCACCACTGTTCATCCCTTACCCGAACAGGAGAATGCTCAACTTGAAGAGAAAGCATCTACAATGCGCTCATCCGAAGCCCCGTCTACCACTCCCTCTGTTGACAACCTCTTCGTCGGTAAAAGCTCTTCAATAACAACGGTATCTCAATCCTTGTATGATGTGCCCGATCGGCCTACTTCTACTGCCAGCGCCTTCAGTGCTTTGCCCCAAATCTACCCTTTGCAAGACGCATTCTCTTTTGGAGCTACGAATCCCACCCGGTTCGTATCCTCACATAGTTCAACTTTCTATCCGTTTGCAAGCGGTCGTATCCATCTTTCTCCCACAAACGATTTTGATTTAAGTATATGCATGATCGTTTACGGCGCTCTTGACGCAGCTGGCGCGAACTTCGACCGGTTCACGAAGCACTATTTTCGCTCCGTGCACTCCTACCTAACCATAATCAACCGCAATCGTTTCTTCAAGCGCGTATTTAGCTTGTCGAAGAAAGCTAATGCTGAAACTGCTATCCTCCTGCTGTGCGTTCGGTTATGTTCCGAGCCCACCCAATCTGGCATAACCGCCTCCGGAGGCGATTTATACAGGACAGCATCGAGACTCTACAAGGCCGCGTACGAGATAAAAGGTGCATCAATTGAGCTTTTGCAAGCTGGCTCACTCCTTACTCTTTTCGAGCATAATGCTGCTCTTCGTGGCTTTGAGTATGAGAGATTGAAGCACTGCAGTAGTATGGCGAGAACGTTAGGACTAGATGCTTCTGCCCGAAGCCCATACACTGTCGTTGATGAGGAACGTAGAAGAGCTTACTGGGGTCTTCTTAGCCTTGACTGGTAAGGATTTCTGTGAAAATGGACGATTACAGCACTTATTTGATCGCACTAAAGCATAGTATCTCTGCACGACGAAAAACATGAGCGCGCACTTGTCTTCGAAATGCCATCATTAGACGATGTCCTCCCATCAATATCCGACGCTGGTTATGAGGACTCTGTTGACGAGTTATGCGCCAGTAATACGTGCTTCACAGTGCAAAGCCGGCTACCGGTGTGTGCTGACAGCTTTAGTCGGCAAGGCCAGAGTGTGCGGCTGATGTATCTGGTGCAAAAGATACTTCGCGAGAAATTCGATTTATCACCAGATTTGATGGTGTCTAGAATAGGGTATCTTGACAAATTATTAGTTTCCACTCTGCGTGACTTGCTAGCAGATTGCAATGGGAAAGCAACGCAGTACTGCGGTCCGATTTCCTGTTGCATCAGGTACGTTTCCGCTGTTCTTATATCTGCCTATATTCACATTCACAGTGCTTCCTTTCTGCTACATGAATATCAGCTGCTCTCAACAATGCATGTTCCACCAGAGAAGTTGAACGACCCACAGGCTCTGACACGTTCGAAAATGGCCATCGAAACAATGATTGAAATGGTGGTGAATATTCTCCGCGAATTTCCGGTAGCCCATACTCCGGAATTGTCTCCTACCGCGCTATTCTGTCCCTATCAAGCCGCAATGCTAGGACAACTACTGGATCGCATCTCTGGACTCAACCCGCAGCCCACTCTGCTTGGAACCACTTTTGACTTTATGATAAATGGCTTAAAACACTTCAGTACTATTTGGCCCTGCACCAGTAAGTGATTCAACTTTTTGTTGGCTTATTTGATTCTTATCTAGTATAGCTCAATACATAACACTCATACAACAAGCTCAGTAAAGAACTCTGCCCGTGCCACTTCCACGCGCCGAGTGAAACAGTATTGGAGCTCAACAGTAGAAGCTTTATAACGGAAATATACAAATCAGTGCCCTAGAGAAACCAGAAATGCTATGAAAAAAAAATCCATCTTGGGAGGGCTATGACTGCCCAAAGTTATTAGCATGAAGATGGTTGAAGAATAGGATCAAGCATATTCCAAAGTGATTTGAAATCATTGTAGGACTCGATCGAACATGCGTGCGGTTATATCAAGCACAGTCTACTAGAAGAAAAGCTACAAATAATGCCGGAATGGGACTATGGCAGGAGACTACACATCAGATAGAAAATCAAAGGCTTTATTACTGCTCTGCGACCCTCTCCTAGCTCAAATGACATTTAGCCGTCCACATAAAGTTGCATGTCCTAGCCACGAACCCTACTGGCAAGCAAATTTGTTCTTTGTCAAGAGGCTCTGGTTTCAATGACGACGCGAGTAAAACCAGCAGAGGAGGTCGCCTTGTTTTGCCACAAAATACAGCACATGCTATGGCGGCCAGGGAGAAGAGAAGTATGCGAGAGAGTTATATGTTCTTTTCAATATTCAATGAATAAATTGAATTTTATGCGCTTCTGAGATTGAACGCTAGACCAGACTTGAGTTACTGCAGCCGTTAAGAGAATTGGTATTGTAATCGAAGAGGCGTTGCGAGCGTTTGAACGAGTAGGAAGCCTGATATGCAAAAACCGTGTAGCTGGCATGCTGGCTGTTTGGATTCTCACATTTCAAGTGTCAGGGCTGGTGTATTGTAGCCTTCGGATCGCCGCATTATGCCACTCTGATGCACAACCCGATTTCCAGTGAGAGGCCACGAGAAAAATATTGATATTTATTGAAGGATATTTCTGAGCTTTCGTTTTGCAGGGAAAATTCAGAAGATTTCAAGTGATCAGAATCTGGAGCGCTTCGATCTTTGGCCACGGTAAATATGGCGAGTACAGATCGGGATAGTTTTGTTGAAGAACCTTAGTCGAGTGAGTAAATCAGATGATGTTCTTAATTTCTTGAATGATGCCTTTGAAGCAGCCAGCGGCTTTGTTTTCATGGCATTTTATGGTTTCTGTCCGACTGCGTGCTCAAAATTTACCCCATGCACAGGTCTAGCCTTTTATTTTCAGGCCGTAGTAGTCAGATAGTCAGAAGCCGTTAAAATATAGCCTTTGCCAACACGCCCTGAGTATCGCAGGTCCGTCCACCGGGCTGATCGATGCTTTCATAAACTAGGCAGCATTGGCCTTTGCTTTCCATGTGCCGCTCTTCGGGCTGCTCGATGAAGAGTTCGGGAAAGCACAAGAGGAGAAGTGATACTCTACGTTTATCATGCCGGCGAGAAAGGATTCAGTCCTCGCTGTTTCGTCGCACCCTCTCTGCGTCTTCCTTAGCTTTCTCAGCCAGCGTCTCTCTTAGTCGCTCTTCCTGTCTTTTCCAATGTCCGCCCTCCTCATAATCCTCTCGTATTCCCAAGGCCCTTCTTAGCCGCTCGGTCTCTTCAATCTTCGCCTTTGCCAAATCATGCACTTGGTGGCTTTTCAAGCCTCTCGCATCCGTATTTTTGCTCTTTTCGCGTTCGCTTTCCTCCTCTAACCTCTGCCTCAGCGCGTTGCACCTATCATCAATCTCGTCCTCGTCCAGCTCGCCCTCCTCTTCAAGTTTATCACGCAACTCAAACACTTCGACTTCAATCTTGCGCCGTCTTTCATGCTCAAGAATCTCAGGATCAGGCTTCCGTTGTCTATGTTTCCGATCGTCTAGGTTGTACGGGTCGGCTTGGTCGCGGGGTTTCAAATTAGATAAATTGCGCTGGACGTAGCCTGATGTGCCACTGCCGCGAGGAGTCGAGAGACCGACGTTAGAAGACATGGTGATTCGTATGTTCGCTTCTGATATCTCCTGATCAAGCGATGCACCACGCTTCTAGGGCTTTGCAAATTTCTAATAAGATGGTTGAACAAGTCTGTTGAGGAGATTCAGAGGTCGAGGTTCAGATTTCGAGAGCGCGGAATGCGCTCCGCAGATTGAATCATCGCCGACGAAAAAAAGCTGCAGCATGCCTCGAGTTATTTCGACTGGGTGACTGCACCCGCCATGTTTGACACAAATCTAGACAATAGATCGATCAGAACAGGACAAAATGATTGCTCCGGATTTGACAAACTTCGACCGCGCTGAGAATAGTAGCGACCCCCAAAGCCGAGCCAGCAACACGCCTCAAACATTGCCCTTTCCACCACTGACGAAACAACATATTCTGAACTGCGCTTACAATTCCTGGTGGCCTAAATATCGGTCCTTCACACCAAAATCACGTATCATTCCGCTTACTCCACCGTTCCTGGAGTACCTGCAAGCGGACGGTATCTACTTGCCTTGCAACGAGGCTCCTCATCCTGGCTATGAGAACGAGGAGGATGAGATTGAAGATGTTGCAAAGGACTGGCGTCCTCTGCATGATAAGATTAAAGCGACAATAAAAGAGCTCGGGGGCAAAGTTTTACCCAAGCTGAATTGGTCAGCGCCAAAGGATGCAACACACATGCTTGGAAATAGCATGAACTGCTTTAGTCCAGACGATGTGTATCTGTTACTCAAAAGCTCTGATTTCATCACTTTTGATCTCAACCATGCTTTTGATGATACTATTGACGACGGACCTGCCCCTCATATACCCTATCATCTCGTCCTACGGAAGAGTTTCAACGTGAACCCCTCCGTTGAGTTTCGCTGTTTTGTAAGAGGGAGGAGACTGGTGGGCGTGAGCCAGCGTGACATGAACTACTACGATTTCCTGCATAAAGAGAAGGACAGGTTTTTGGGGCTTATAGAGCATTTCTTTGAGGAAAAACTGAAGAGCACGTTCGAGGAGGAGAATTTCGTATTTGATGTCTATATTCCAGAGCCACATAACAAAGTATGGCTTATAGACATTAATCCGTGGGCACAGAGGACGGACCCGCTGCTCTTCAGCTGGCTTGAACTTCTTACAATGGAAGTGCCAGCGGAAGAGCCAATGGAGCCGGTTCGCTTTCAACTTGCGTCAGCTGCAATCTCAAATCTGCCTAAAAATGGGGGGCTAGAAGAAGGAACTGAAACGCGGGAGGATAGCGATGAGTTTGAAAGCGATGTTGAAAGTGTCTTCGTTCCTGAGCTTAGATTACTCAACAAAGATGACCCTGAAGCGTATGGCTTCGCATCTCCACAGTACAGCGCTCACAAGATGCCAAAGGATGTGGTAGACGCGGCTGCTTCTGGAAACACGAATGCATTACGGGATTTGTCCACGGAATGGCAGGAAGCTTTGCGACGAGCACAGAAGGCAGATCAAGAATATGACAGTGAGGACGAAGATGGAGGCTGAGAATACTGGCAAGATGTTGTTGGAAATCAACGGCGCCAAAGTGCACCAAATCACAAATAATTGAGCCGAGGAGTCCAATGGATACGCAATGTGTATAAGCTAGCTTAATGCATCTTCACTGCCTACTCTTGCAGCTCGCACAAGTTGGTGCAGCTCGGGTTAAATTTTAGCACGTTCATGGTAGAAAAATAAGATGACGTAGTGTTTTTTGAACTTACTTGATGAAGATTAATGTATACGGAATCCTTGAAGACAGCTGTCAAAGGATATCAGGTTGGAGAGATGAGGTAGAGACCAAGTCTCGCATGGCGTGGCTCATTGTGCGCTTGGACAGCCCTAGGAGCTTTATTAGCTATCTGACTTGAATCAACAAAACCATCTCGCCTGGTGAAAGATTCTTGAGAACCGTCCACCTGCCAGTAGAAGGCCATGACGATGAAGTTATCCAATGGACAACGGAATGCTGAACTGCAGACCAATATTGGGTCCGTTGCGTTTTGTCTATGGACTCGATCTCAACCCAGCACCGGCATTCGGAAACCGAGCTCGATCTCCGAAAACACGAGAAAGCTTGCGCATGCTGTCATCGAAGCTCAAAGCCGACGCCACCTCGCCAAGGCACTGAATAAATGCTGATTTTTTAAGATCCTTCTAGCCGTTAATTCAATTCCAAAGGCAAAGCATTATGTCGTTGTTGAAGCCAGTCACCTATCTCTACCATGAGTCTGGACTCCAGACCCTGCTCCATGCCGACGGCAACACATGGCTCATCATCCTGACACGGATGTTGCGCATGTTTGCGTACGGTTTCAACGCTCTGATCCTGGCTCTCTTCTTCGAGTCCCTCAAGTTTTCGGACTACAGCATCGGTCTCTTCTATACCCTGACGTTGCTTGGCGATGTTGCATTGTCTCTTTTCCTTACTCTGGTTGCCGATGCCCTAGGACGACGCAAGATTCTGTTCTTTGGTGCTGCTTTGATGGTCCTCTCAGGTATGGCGTTTGCCCTGAGCTCGAATTACTTCGTTCTTCTTTTTTCAGCCGTGATTGGGGTGATCAGTCCGAGCGGTAGCGAAATCGGTCCTTTCCGTGCTGTGGAAGAAAGTATGATATCGCATCTCACAACGCCCGACACGCGCACCGAGGTCATGAGCTGGTATGTCGTCATGCCAGCTGTAGGCACAAGTCTGGGCCTCTTTGCGTGCGGGAATTTAGTCAGCACTTTGACGGAGAGAATGGGTTGGGAGGTTAAGAGCGCATATCACGCCTGCTTCTGGATTTACACCTTATGCGGGCTTGTCAACATGGGGCTTGCCATGTTCATGACCCAGAAATGTGAGATCGAGGACAAGAAACCCGATGTTGCGGAAGGCGCACGACCGGAGAAAAAGAAGTCGAAGTTTTCACAGATAAGCAGAGAGTCTCGGCCGACGCTGTACAAGCTTTGCGCACTCATGTCCGTCGACTCACTGTCTTCCGGAATGGCAGCCTATTCTCTCATCAATTTGTACGTCGACAGGAAGTTTTCACTTCCCAAGTCGTATCTCGGAGATACAATGTCCGGCGTCTGGGCGGTGAGCGCGTTCATGAACATCTGGTCGCCGGCTATCGCAAGGCGGATCGGCCTCATTAAAGCCATGGTCTTCACACACCTTCCATCAGCAATATTCCTCGCGCTTCTCCCAGCGCCGCGGAGCTGGTGGCTGACAGCGGTGCTGCTCTTTGCTCGCGCTGCCCTGAATAGTATGGACCAGGCACCGCGAACAGCATTCATCGCCGCAGTCGTCAAACCGGAGGAACGCACTGCTGTCATGGGAATCGTCAACGTGCTCAAAATTTTAGCGCAAAGCGGTGGGCCTTCTATAACAGGCTCATTGGCCGGAGCTAATCTTTTCTGGCTCGCATTCACTCTGGCCGGAAGCCTCAAAGCAAGCTACGATCTAGGCTTGTTGAGCATGTTCGTTAACACAAGGCTGCACGAGCACGAGAGAGGAAGTGCTTCGAAAGGGCAGTATGAGAGGGTCGGCCAGGAGGAAGATAGAGACGCGGAGAACGCGTTTGCACTCGGGGAAAATGACGTGGACGGTGAGAGCTATGATGGAGACGAAGATGGAGAGGCGGATGGAGAGGCGTCTAAAAAGGGAGATTTGCCTAAGAGAAGTGACAGTTTCCCGCTGAAAGCAATATCTTAACTAGATTTCCAAATCCAAATAATTAGCTTCAATAGCATATAAGAAGTTGCAAATTCGAGAAAGAGGTTCGCAGCTACCACCTGTTGCTCATGCCGCAACACGCATGATCAGCATCTGCGCCGGGCTCGACATTCTGGCCTAAGCTCCAAATTCTACATCACGCATGATTTCCTTTCATAATCTTTGATCGCTTTAAAATTGAGACTGACTCTGCGAAGCTGTGAAATATCATTCATCGTCATTTCTTCAATTCAAAAGTGGGATCGTGATACTGAGTTATCTCGGTCTTGGGCCAAAGAAGTAAGGCTATAGATCACTAAACCATAGAGGCACGCTCCATAGAAGAGAAGATGACAGAGATTTTGAATTGAATCGTCGTATTGCAGTTAATCCATTCCGGCAATTCACGGAGCATGATGTCCTCATCGTGTCAACTTATCGCCGAGCATTCATTGCTCCAATCAATGCTAAAATATACACTTGAGATGTTCTTAATGCTCCCATGAAAATCAAAGCTCCATTCATTGTACAGCTACCCGTCAAAAGATAGAGCAACGAGTATCAAACGTCATGGAAAGAGTCAAGAACGCAAATCAAGAAAGCAAACAGACAAAGCTGCGCTGAAGCTCGCTCTCATGAAAGTCGTAAAAGCCATTACCTTTCATGGTCGTGTCTCGTTTCACGTTTCCTGAAGCACAAACGTCGCGAGCATGTGCGCTCCATGTCAGACCTGGTTCGATTCAGTCTAAAAAACCGCAAGCGACTCCTGGTCAGAACACGTCATCCGGCCATTCAAAGCTGTCCTTGCTATCCACTTTTCTTGGCAATTCAGGCACGTCTCGTCCATTTGGACACTTCATAATAATATCCTCATCCTTGCCCTGGAGTCGTGCTCTCGAACTGCTAGGCGGGGGACTAGAGCTTCTCTCGTCCCTAACGCGGCGCGGAGTAGTTGCCTTCTTCACACGATGTGGACTGCGCATCCGGTATGGGCTACCGCCGTTGAGACCACGTCGAGGGAATGCAGGTGTCGTATGAGCAATCGGCTGAGGAGGAGAGCCATTCTTGGCAGGAATAGTGTTTGAGAAGATTACCTCCTCGTGCACTGTATCCAAGCTTCGGCGAGACTCAAGTTCGCCTGGAGTGGGTGGTAAGTCCTTATGCGTATTTTTAGGTGCTGTCTTGGTAAGCACTTTTGGAGACTTCTTAGATCTAGTATCGATCTTGGAAATCTCTGTACTTTCGAGGACGGGAATGTGTGAATGTGCCGGACTCTCTTCGGGATGATCAAGTCCTTTAAATTCAAGCTGATTTGGCTTGTCACATCCCCTATTCCACTTGGTGTCGTCATTCGTAGTTAATTTCACGTGGTGTCCATAGGTCTTGTCTCCCGTGCTTAGGCGCTTCGTCTTCGTTGATGAATCCTTCTTCGACAACTTTTTCTTCGCAGATTCGGTACTAATAGAGTCATCGGAGAGGAAAGCCTGACGCTCCTCTGCAGTTGCTTGCAGAGCAGGAAGCGGGTGATATTCTGGCGGGCATGGACTGTTTTCCTTTGACGGAAGTGAATGTCCAAAGTCGGGCTTGAGAAGCGGCTTGTTTGCCTGGGAGTACATGGTATTGCCGCTGGACACTTGAAGCGGTAAGTCTTTGGAAACCTTCTTGCATCTAGCCTGGGAGTTACCGTCTGAATGGGAGAGAGGATCGGTAGTCGCAAATGATCTAGTTTCAACCGTATGCGACATGTTTTCGATCAAGGCTGGCTGAATAAGTAAGCTCTCAGATAGGACCGTGGGCAGCGCAGGAACAAAATCACGCTCTCCACCAGCGCGACGCTCAGTACGAGGAATCAGACGATGCTCGATGGAATTTGATGGCAAGTTGGGCAAGGTAGGCACGAGAGGCACAACACCCATAGCTCGATCAAGCTCTCTACGTGCAGATTCAAGTTTCGCCTCCAGGTCACTTACACGCTTCGTCAGCTTCGCCTGCTTTGCTATATCCTTTCTCGGGCGCAAATTCCCGAATTCATCGACATCATTCTCCACAAGATTAGCCCGAGATCTGCTGCCACGCAGAGACGCCAGTTTGTCCTCGGCACCTAGCAGTTCGAAGATATTGCTACGAGATACACTTCGACGCAAGCAGCCTGGTTGCTCATCGCTTACGTTTAGATCTCGTTTCTCCGGTGACTGTGACATAGATGCGGAGCGCCGTTGCAAATTGAATTCAGAGGCCATCTTTTTCAGGTTACGGAACGAGGGTGTACGGTGGTGACGATGTTTCTTTTTCGGCGAGCCATCTGACTGCAGCAAGAATGAGTCTTTCGATGTTTCAACGGACGTGCAAGATCCGGAATCCATCGAGATAGCAGAGTCGCGTGGATTGCCACTCTCCTTGACCGGAGGCTGCCTGTAACCTGGTGTGAAAACCGGCGTATTCTCCATCTTGCGCGCACCCTGGGCTCCTAACTTGCCAGCTTGTTTGAGTTCGGCGTATGCTTGCTCAGCCTTTCTCTGCCGCTCCAACATTTCTCGTTTCTGGGCGTCCTCGGCCTCCTCGATCAGCTCCTCTTTCGCGTTACGCCAACTAGCTGTGAACTTGGACCAGGCTGCCATAGGGTTGAATGCAGATGCTAGAGATTTGCCGAACTTGAATATACCTGCAGATTTGCCGTCTTCAGTGTCTTCCGAGAATGTGAAAGTAGCAACGGAGCTAGACGGTCTTTTTGGTTCGGGAGATTTCATCTTGCCGGACCTACTTGCAGCGGGATGAGAAAGCAATGGCTTGTCATTGTTTTTGTGATACTCATCCATCAGCTCATCGTCCGAGGTACCGAAATGATTGTTGAAGTGACGCGTGAAAATACTTGGCGGTTGCTCGCTGGGCCGATCGTGCATGCTAGCCTCTCGGAATTTCGAGACGCGCGAAGGCGACATGTTCAATTGCTCTGCCTTGGAAGGGCCGTCATCAAGACCTTCGTTTCTATGCTCAGGCCAGGCGGCATGACGCTGACGCTTTGCCTCTCCATCGCCTCCTTGTCCGTGGATGTTGAGCAAATCCTGAGGTCCTCGCTTCCTCGAAAAATTGACAATATTGTGCTTGTGAAGGACCCCGTCGACGGTGTCAGTAGGTAATGGTTCTCTGTGTGAAGTAATGGGTCGTTGAGGTGACGCATTCTCAAAGATGTCGTAGTTTATGTCAAACTGGAGGGGCGCTAAGTTAGAGCGGACTGCGACTTCTTCACATTTCAGCTGCTGCTGCAACTACTTACTTTTGGAGCATTGTTAGCGTGCTCCATTTTGTCCCTTTATCTGAAACGTGTGCTCTTTCAATGCAGCAGTTAAACCTCTCGGCCTCGGCCTGTCGCGCTCCTTGTGTTTTCCCCAGGGACGGATGAGCATGCAATTGGCAATACTGGCCTTCAAAGGCACCCACAGCGCAGACTGGGACGTAATGAGGGAAGGAAGAAGTCACTAGTTAAGATATGTAGCAGAAGACTCGAGCAATTCTACGCGCTGCAGCAGACTCAAAGGCAGCTCTGCTCTGGGTTTATTGGTATTGTTTACTCTCCTCATTCCTGCAGGGATCTACGCCGCGCTAGTCCACAAACAGATAATGCCGCCCAAGTCCGAACCCTGGACAAGTCGTACAAGTATTAGAAGCGTTGTCATGCAAGCCACAACGACAGCTCGCTTCAACCAGTCCGTCCCAAAGTCAGCGCCGGATATGAAAATGAGTCCTATCGTTCACTGTGTATATGGAGAACATCGTGACAGGGTTATTAGTCTTGACATTTGCTAGCCCTACGTGAGCCAGTTTTCTTAAAGTTGATTGGCTTTGCCGATTGCTTTGTACAGTACATAAAAGACGCCCAAGTTTGTTGTGGATACCTTATATCATGGTGTTGAGTCGATACTTCCCACTCCTGCAATCCCTGCAAAAGGTGTATAACCTCTAATGCCTGTAATATAGTAGGTTTGACCGGTGGTAGTGGCTCAATGTTAGGAATACTTTCCCAATACCGACTAGCTTCACGAATGTGAGCCACTTCGGAAGGGATTAGCTTCCTAGAGCAGAGGAACAAGGTGTAACTAGAGCTTATTATGGAAGGAAGTATAATAAGATAGTTATGTTTATGGCTCAGAATAGTATGAGCTTCAGGATATGAGAATATATTTGACCAACTACTAGGTAAACTAGACAGTTGAATTACAGAGAGCCGTCAATAGAGGTAGTGACAGGATGTTGTTACAGAGTAACATGGGAATCACGTGAAGAAGCGATCATGTTGATCATTTATGATCAAGGTGATCGACTCGCATAAGCGAAGGGTTGCGATTCGCCCAAAGGAAATGGACGAATCAAGAATGCAGCCTGTGATCAGTCTGATCATTTATGATCAGAATGATCACCAGGTTTCTTATATCTATAAAAATGTCCTGTCCCTACCTTCACTACAGCTCTCCGTAATTCAACTGTCTAGTTTATGTAGTAGTTAGTTTGAATGCATTCTCATACTCTTGAAGCTCATGCTATTCTAAGTCATAAACATAGCTATCTTAATATATTCCTTCCATAATAAGTGTGGCAAGGAGAGATGTGCCAGAGCGAGCGCTATGAACGTCAGTGCCGCCTGAAGGAGTGTTTCAAGTGTCAGGCATATGGCCACATAGGAACCCAATGCAAAGCAGCAAAGACATGTGGCTACTGCGCGCTAGAACACGATTCTAGGGACTGCCCATCCAAAGGAGTCCGGGATGCCCCTAGGAAATGCGCAGCATGCCACGGCACACATGAGGCGTGGAACCGCTTGTGCCCAACCAGGAAAAACGAGCTGGCCAAGGTAAGGGCGGCCTACGCCAGTAGGCTGCGATACCACGCGGTCGCGCCAGCGATGGGAAGCGACACGCTAGCTGCTGTCGCGGCCACCCTACTGCGGAGGACAAGGTCAACACGGGACATGAAAACGACCCATGCCTCCGCCAGAGGCCAGAAGAGGGCGACGCCGGAGGGAAAAGAAAACGAGGGGTCGAATCAGCGACCGAAGAGGCTACCAAAGCCTAGCAGGAAAGCGCTGGAAATGATTGACTCAAACATCACAACACGCCGCAGCACCGAAAATATGGACCTTGACAGCGACAGTGACCAATGACGGAACATAACCAACTGAAGATACTGCAGTACAACGTCCGCAAATCAAAGAACCAGGTCATGGCGACGCTACTCCGAGACCCAGGCATAGCGACCTATGATATAATAGCCATTCAAGAACCCTGGCGCAATCCATTCGAAGACACGACACACCACCCAGCAAAGAACATCTTCCACTTTTGCTATCCGACGGATAACACGAAGGAACGCCCGGCACGGGTATGCTTCTTCATCAACAAGCGTCTAGACCACGCCCGCTGGCAAATCGAGCAATGCACGCAAGACCTATGCACCTTGGGGATGCTCACGGGTGAAGGGGAGGCAGAAAACGAGCTGATACTGCATAATGTGTACAACCCAGGCCAAGGCGAAGACCAGGCGGCCACCCTCCCAGTCCTACGAACCCAGCTAGGGAAACACGCTACGAAAGAGCAGATAGCGCTCGGCGACTTCAACCTACACCACCAATTATGGGGGGGCCCAGAAGTCATAAGGGAAGAGCCAGAGTCAGAGGAACTTATTGAGATCATGGACGACCTCAACATGATAAATGTGCTGAAACCAGGCACAATCACATTTAACAACGGCCTTGGTCAGACAACCATAGATCTCTGTTGGATGACACTGGGTCTGGTCGACCGGATAGTCCACTGCAGGGTAGATAAGGACATTAACCATGACTCTGACCACCTACCGATCGGCATCACGCTAGACACAAGGATCCGAACGGTAGAACCCAAACCCAAACACCCGTGGAAACACCTAGACGAAGAAAAGTTCTGTTAGGCCCTAAAGGAGGTCCTCACACCACAACACAGGCCAGACACGAAGAAAGCGCTCGACGAGTATGTCCAGCACATCGTCTCCGCAATCTATACAGCGATAGAAAAGGTCCTACCTTTGAGGAGGTCCAGCCCTAAGATGAAGGAAGGGTGGGACGACGCATGCCGAGAAACACTTGCAGAAATGAAGCGCCTCCGTAGAGTGTACTCCCGGCGGCCAACAATTAAAGCGTGGGAGGACTATCAACAAGCTAGGAAACTCAAGGGCAAGACCATCGCAAGGGCACTTCAGAAAGCACACAGAGACCGGGTGACAGAAGCGGCGAGCTCGGTCGAGTCACTGTGGAAGGTCGCAAAATGGGCACGCAACAGGGGCAACCAAGCCCCAAGCATCACACCCATGATACGGAGGCCTGATGTCCCAGGGGATGCCCCAGCAACAGAGCCACAAATAAAGGCGGATATATTCAGAGAGACCTTCTTCCCGCCCCCACGGGAGGCGGATCTGAGCGATATCGAAGGGGCGTCCTATTCAGGGCAGGTACAGATGCCGAAGGTCACCAGAAAGGAAGTATTGGAAGCAATCCATGCCGCAGCCCCGCTAAAGGCCCCAGGGCCAGACGGGATATCAAATAGGGCGCTATAGGCAGCCGCAGGAATACTAGTACCGTACCTCACGACCATCATCAATCAAAGCCTAAAATTAGGATACTGCCCGGCCCACTTCCGCGAGTCGACCACAGTGGTACTACGAAAGCCTGGAAAGGACGACTATACAATTCCTAAAGCGTACCGCCCAATCGCGCTTCTGAATACGATTGGGAAGGTCATGGACACAGTCATCGCCCGGCGACTCAGCTTTCTGGTAGAGAAATATCAGGTGCTTCCCAGCCGACATGTCGGAGGCCGGAAGCTGCGGTCTATAGAACATGCGCTACACGCGATAATCGAACGTATTTACGAAACATGGAATAAAGGCAAGGTGAGAGTGGCTAGCCTTCTCCTTCTGGACGTGATGGGGGTATTTGACAATGTCTCTTCCAAACGGCTCTTACACAACCTCCGGAAGCGGAAGGTTGATGAAACAATGGTACGCTGGATAGCAAGCTTTCTGAGCGGCAGGCGCACAAGGATTGCGCTCGACAGATACGAATCAGAGGAGTACCGGATTGAAACGGGTATCCCGCAGGGCTCACCCCTCTCACCCATCCTGTATATCTACTACAATGCAGATCTTATAGAGGAGTGCGGGGTAGAGGAGGTGACGACAGTAGGATACATCGACGACGCCGCGACCCTGGCGTGCGGTGACTCCACAGACGAAACCTGTGGGAAGATTGAACTAGCACTAGAAAAGGCTCACCATTGGGCACAAATGCATGGCGCGAAATTCGCACCAGAAAAGTTCCAGCTAGTACACTTCACACGAGCACACAGCCGCATCGACTTTAAAAGGCCGCTAGTAACCCAGAGAATCACCATCCCGGCTAAGACTATATGCAAGTACCTTGGGGTCATTATGGACTGAAAGCTAAAATGGAAGGAACACATCACAGAGATACGCCGGAAAGTCACAAAAACAATCGCCGCACTAAATTCCATCAGAAGCTCTACCTGGGGCATAGGCCTACAGGACATGCGGAAAATCTATAGAGGCACGGCCTTGCCGCAAATGATGTACGCATGCTCCGCCTGGTCAAACCCAGGAGGTACAGAGGGTAGATACACGGCCGCCACGCTCAAGACGCTCAAGACCCTCGAGGCCCAAGGCGCGAGAGCTATATGCGGGGCGTATAGGGCAACCTCACAGGCGGCCCTGGATATTGAAGCGCACCTGCTCCCCATCAAGCATCAGATATGGAAGCACAACGCCGACGCACTGGGCCGGATCCTTACAGTCAATAGCATGCCGGAGCTATCGGACGCCGGCAATGGAGACGACCCTCCCTCCCAGCGCAGAGCACCACAGATAAGCCCCCTACGCTGGATTGCCCGCCAACTGCAAGAGCAGGGAGCTGTAGATCTTGAAAAGCACGAAAAGATAATGCCATTTATAGCGCCACCATGGCAGCAAGGTCCGGTGGTGCGGATTACGACAAACGACGACGAAGCAAGGCCGCTCTGGAGCATACATTACTAAGCAGATTATGCGGCGGCTTAAGCAGCTACATAAGGATGGCCCTACTATTACCATCCACTGGATCCCGGCCCACGAAGGGATAGACGGTAACGAAGAGGCTGACCTGGCCGCGAAGACAGCCGCAGGATGGACAGAAGAAGGCATGGAAAGCCATAGGGCCCCAACGCCTCCCCGCCTACACCCGCTGAGAACCACGCTAAAGACGTGGGTCAATAAGACTACCCGCACCCGCTGGACCACAAGCTGGCAGCAGGAGACGAGGGGCAGAGCTACATACCGGCACACACCGCTACCAGATAAGAAGGTGCTACAGCTACATAAGGGCCTAACTAAGGCCGAGAGCGCCTTACTCGTGCAGATGAGAACCGAGAAGATCGGGCTCAGAGACTTCCTCTTCTTCCAACGTGTTCCAGGTTTCGAGGACCCAGGATGCCCCTGCAGCGGAGGCCGCCAAACAGTCGCGCATACGCTCCTGCGGTGCCGACTGCTCCAGGACGAACGACGGCTCGGATTCGGGAGCCTGTCGGGCAGAGAGGACCTGCGAAAGGTACTCTCAACACGCAAGCTAGCCACGAAAGCGATCACACTTATGGAACAGGCGAGGGCCCTAGGGCAAAGGGCGCCGAGCGAATAGGCGATGCGAAGTATTGGGTGGAGACTGAAGGTATCAAGGATGGCGAAACATGGGGCATACCCCTCTGAGCCTGTACATAGCAGAATAGCTAGTAGTAGAGCCACTATCAACAAACGCGCACCGGGCATTTGAAGATAGAGGCAGATAGTAAGAGGGTGGGTGGAAGAGGAGACTAGCCATGTTTGTTTACTCCGAAGTTTGCACGCATGGTGAAGAGGGACGTGTGGAGCCACTTGCTGGTCTTATGATTGGCCATAAGTTAGCACATCACGTGTCGGTCACTTGATGAAGCCCGCCTAACCGGGCATAGCTACAGATAATTTGCAGCCAAAACCGAGTAGGATCAAATCAATCAAACAATCAATCTTGAAAACGCTTTGGATTCGTAATGAAGCGTTCCGATAGTGAGGAGCGTACTTTCACTCTTCTGGCATCTCAATGAATAAGTTAGATTCAGAAGCCGCATGTACGGCAATCCTCCCTGGTCGTGGCTTGTTTGACTCACGACAAGGGACATTGTAGTGTTCGGTTATCTGCCCTTTTTACCGCTTAACGACAGCCTGATCGTTGATCTGCGTATGGAATCATGGCTCCTCCAATCGTTGCAGCTCCTGGAGACCGGCAATGTCATCAACATGTCATTGCAAGCGTGCAGTAGAAGTGCAAATGTGTCATTACAGACCCGTGCGCTCCTTTAGCCTGGCCCAGCGGCCCTCGCTTCTTGTAGAGTACGGGTGCTGCCGAAAATTCACTCAAGTTTAATCATTAAAGTGGTCTGGGCCGCCGAATCAAAGCCCTTAGCACTATTTCAGGTACTGCAATGTGGTTTTTCAGTGTCATTGAGATGTCGAAATTCTTCCCTTAGCTTTGCATTATGATGTTTCTCCCACGTCTACTTCTGGCATGTCTAGTTTACTCTGTGAACTCATTGCCAGTCAGCAGCAATGAGCTTCGCGATGCTTATGATTACATAGTGGTTGGTGGGGTACGGCGGGGATTACGGTAGCAAATAGGCTGTCTGAAGATCCAACCAGTGCGCTCACAAACAGTCCGATGTTTCCGTTAAATTTCTGACGAGAGGTGTAGAAACTGTTCTACTGCTAGAAGCCGGGCCACTGTATGCGAAGCGTCGCCCCTTGCTCTGTAGTCTATACTAATCCACTGACAGCCATCACTATGAAAAGGAAATTATGATTCCACGGTTCCAGATCTTCACTGCATTGGACTTGAAATATCAATGGAACACAACCACAACGCCTCAAGAAGGACTTATCTTGAATCGTCCTGTGATAATGGAACAAGCCCGTCTGCTAGGTGGAGGTAGTTCCATTAACGTTATGATATGGGGCCGTGGAAGCAAGCCAGAGTATGATGCTTGGGCTAGCTTTGGCAATCCCGGCTGGGATTGGGATGGCCTTCTTCCTTATTTTAAAAAGGTGGGCATTTTATCCATGTTGTCTCGTGTTCAACGACCATTCTGACAACTTTCTCGTAGTCAGAGACCACCACTCCACCTGGTCCAAATGAGGCTCCCTTCGGCGTGCACTACAACCCTGAGTGTCATGGCACCAATGGACCTGTCCACGCTAGCTATGATGAGTATCATTATCCCCAGAACAGTAGGTTGTTCTTTTACGACGCCGTCAGGCTTGAGGTAACGCGAGAGTAGAAAACTTTTTGGATGGGCTGAGGAAATTAGGAATTCAGCAAGCTTATGAGCAGATGTGCGATTCATTAGGTTCTACGCTAACTTTGCATTCTCTAAATCATAAAAATCAATCTCGCTGCGATGCTCGCATCGCTTACTACGATCCTATTTTTGGTGAGGGCGGAACGCCACGTCCTAACTTCCATGTTCTGATTGAGAATACTGTGACAAAGTTGCTGACTTCAACCGTCGACGGTGTCGTCAGAGTCACTGGTATCGAGGTGCTGCAAAATCGCTGATCTTATCCGTCTGGGACGACTGACTAAGTTTCTCAGTACTCCCCATCACACGCAGATCAAACAAGGACAGCACTTCTCACGGACACTGGCGAAGTCATTCTCTCAGGTGGAGCTCTTCAGACGCCGAAACTACTGCAACTGTCCGGTATTGGCCAGAAATCCGTGCTCGAACAAGTCGGAATTGAAACTATCGTTGACCTACCTGGAGTTGGAGCCAACCTCCACGACCACGCAGGCGCGCCAACGTTGGGAGGTGGTGAGTTGGAACAAATCGCGGCCCGCATAAATACTGACTTTATTCCATGAAGTTGCGCCTGGCGTACCTAGTATTTATGATATCACATTGAACCCGATCTTGGATGCCGAGCAGGGCGACTTGTACTACCTTAACAGAACCGGAAGATGGACGGAGGCGGGCGACTCAGTTGCTTTTATTCCGTTTCTGAACTACACATCTCGAATCCAGGACGCTGCAAACATTATCGCTTCCATGTCTCCAGATTCAGCCGTTCAGTACTTGAGCGCAGAGACCCATCCAGATGTAGTTGCAGGATACAGGCGTATCGCACAAAAAATTCACGACTTGACTGCAAGTCGAACAGGCAAGTCTTTGATCTGTAGGACGAACAATTCAGTGGTTAATTGCTTTCAGGCGCTGGTGTAGAGTTAATATGGTTCCAAGGCGGAGCAGAGATCATCAGCACCTTGATGAATCCCATGTCGCGTGGTACGGTTCGCTTGTCCTCCAAGAACCCATGGGCACCGCCTCTTGTGGACCCGCGATACTTAACTCATCCCTCTGATGTTCAGATGATAATCGAATGCATTCGTCTCATCAAGCGACTGATCCAAACTGATGACATGAAGGCTATTGGCCTGTATGAGGTAGTGCCGATTGTGGACGTTGGTGATGCTTTAGAGATTTATGTGCGCACATCGTTGCTTACTGCATGGCACCCAGCGGGCACGTCAGCAATGCTGCCACGAGAGCTCGGGGGTGTTGTAGATCCAGGACTCAAAGTGTACGGAGTGTCGAACTTGCGCGTAGTTGATGCGAGCGTGATACCCATGTTACCTTCGGCTCACACCATGGCCACGGTCTATGCGATTGCTGAGAAGGCAAGTGGATATCTTCCAGAACGCAAAAACTAAGGATCTGACCCTTCAAAGGCTGCCGACATAATTAAAGGAGTGTGATCACATATTGATAAACTTGCCGTCAATCAAGGCAGGCGAAAGAGTGAATGGTGGACTTTTAGAATTTAGATAGCTTTTGCGGATATTGGGCTAGATCTGGTTTCGCAGGGATGTAGGCAACTGCTGGGTATTTTCATCTTGCAACACTGGATAGTCATGTTTAATGTGCATCTAACCACGCCTTGCGTCAAAATTGTGCCCGATGCTGATAGACGTAACAAATCCGTGTCTGACATTTGGATCAACCTCAGAAACGCAGGTTCGCGGCAATTGGCAATTGGCCGAGCACACCCGAATCCTGTAACAGCGCAACAGAACGTGGGCAAAGCATTTGAATGTGGAACATATCGACCATGAGAGGCCAACATTTCATCTTCCACCGGTCAAAAACCCATCCACTCGATTCCGTTCAATACACGCTCGCAGCTGCGCACGATTTGACAGGTAATCAAGAATGAATTTTGGGCTGATGCACACAGCCATAAATGCATACTAACGCGCCGTTCCTGTGGAACGGAAGTACAACCCTAGCGCCCCAGGAAGATGGACACGGAGATGCGGGATCCACGTAAGTGGAACCAACTTGAGAGACATCACATAAAAACATCAAACTGTCTTCATTACGGTCGTTGCACAAAATGTTGTTTGTTTTGATTCTGACAAAAAGGATTCAAAAAAAAATTTTTTTTTCAAAGTAAGAGCTCAATTCCTTGTGATCTCAGCCAACCCTCGATGGGTTTCTATCGAGAATAGCACCAAGCCGCCCTCGATTTTTGTACACTTCCTATGTACAATCAATTCTCGATTCCATTAGAACGCATTCCAGAAGTATAATACAGCATTCTGTAGTCATAATATCATTGAGTCGTTACTGCGATTAGCCATAAGTCATCACGAGAGTATGCATCATCGGAGTATCGTAAAAGATGGTACGCGACCATTTGTGAAAATGAAGTGCCGCCCTAGAGAGAATCGCCAGGGCACTGGAAGATTGAGTTTGAACCAAAAAGCTCTTCATCGTCGAAGTAGACATCGTTGTAGTTGGGGTCCACGCACTTTCCGCCTCCCGTAGGACCCACATGAGCACAATGCACCTATTCACAATGTTAGCAAACGAGAGATTCAAGAGACTCGAACGAGAGACGCACTGCAGGCCGAAGGGGAGTGAGCAAGACGTGAACACGCCTACAGACAACATTGTCTCCCCATGCCTCGTCGAACGTTCCGTACGGTTTTGACATCAGCACCCCAATACATTCGTCCACGCTCGAATAGACTTGGTTCCCTCCAGTGCAGAATTGTGCCTGCAGCTGACAAATCTGACCTTCAGTGGTGGTCATGTCAGTCGTTGAGGGCACATATCCACCACCACTGTAGATACCAACCGACGGATCTGTGATTTTGCCTACGAAATTTTGCAGGTTTGGGATCCACGCGTCGTAAGCAATGATCCGACCAGTTGTATCGAAGCGCCAAAAGGCAATTTGTTTGAGTTTTGTGATGAACGTCCCGTTGTTTGGACCGACGACGTTCGTCACCGTAAGTTCGACCATGGATGAAGCAACCTCTGGACAACCGCTTGTGAAGTGGGTTACCACAGCTTGCGAGATGGCAGCCGTCGAAGGATCAACTGGAACAGGAGCGAGGCCCCAAAAGTACTCAATGCTGTCTTCGTATCCTGAAAAGTTACCCAGGGGAGTGACGCGGCCAGTGACGTTCTCGTTGAAGAAAGGCAATCCGATGTCCGTCTCGTTCAGGAAGAGTGGTAGATTTTTTGGATAGACTGTGAGATTATAGACAGATGAGACTGTATTAAGGTTGCGAATGGACCAATTGCCAGGTACTGGCTCTGGGACACCACCTCCGCTTGTGCCGTTGCCTGGGCTGTTGCCTCCGCCACTATCCGGGTTGTCATCATTATCGCCGCCGTCTGAGGGGCAGCCTCGTCTGAGGAGAGGGAAGTAGTAATCCATTGCTTCCGCCGCAGTCATCTTGGGAGCAACGAGATGCTTGGTGTGCCAATGGCTTTGTAAAAATGGCGGCAGCTTGAATCCATCATGACTACCGTCATGATTTTTCCGTCGCATCAAACCAGCATTCGCACTGTTGGATTTCACATCGTAGGAACATGCCAGCAGAAGAGCAAGCGCCAGGGAACTGATGCTTAAGAATTTCATTTTGACCAGCCGCGAGATGTAAAGAAGGACACGATGCGGCAGGCAAAGACGAAACTGGTCGGGGCTGAAAGTCAGCAGTTCGAAATGCAATGCATGCAGCCTTATAATTTTCCGTGGCGAGGATTCGCTCGGTTGGACGTTGACGCATTCTTTATTCCAAGGTTAGCTTGTGCCTGCTATTGACGACGTTACCCGTGCATGAGTACGACGCTCAAGCACCAAGAACGTCAGTGAATTACTCCCAGCCACCGGTTGCCGAGCTGCAGCGGGAGTTAATGCAGTGTTCAACTGAACAACCCAATCTTGGACGCCCACATCGCACCAGACCCTTGACGCTTGCCCGAAAGTCAATAGTGACACGGGCGTCAGGACTCGATTCTGCGAAGTCATTGCCGATTTCCCCTGGCAACCAGAACGAGAACGATGACGTCTGATGACAGCGAGGTCCGACGAGTACGAAAAGCGACGAGGAAACAGAAATGAAAGCCGAGTGAGCACAGGGCACATCGAGGCTGAAAGGCGTGTCGGCGGCGCGAGTCGAGGCGCGGTACGAGTCGGCGTTGTACACTTAGCTCAACACACAACAAAGAGACGGCCCGCGTTACCCAAAGACTCGTGCGATCACCACGCGCCTGGGCACAGCCGCAGGATGCCGTAGAAGAACAGCAGGCACAACTAGCGGTGAGATAGGCGAATCATCCTCATGCAAGGAGGTTGGTGAGCTGGCGGCGGAGGTGACTCGCGCGCTCGGCGTGATTGCATGACGCTAGCCCGGCGTCGCCAAACGCACGTGCGCTGAGCGCCAGGCGAGCAGAGGAAAAAAAAAAAAAAAAAAAAAATTGAAAATGAAAAAGCAAGACTCGGGCTCTCTGGGCGTCGACTTCGTCTTGATGAAACGCGTCAACAATCCCCCCTAGCTGGCGCCTTTGATGAAGGACGTGACAACACCAGGACAGGCGCGCATTCCTGCCCAGCAAGGTCACGATGAGAAACGCATCGTCCGAGGAACGCTGACACCGTTACGTACCAAGGCAGAAGTCCAGGCGAGCACGGAGACAGGTAAAACACCCTAGTTGGACACGTAACTCACCATCTAACTGTCGCGAGCGTCTGCATACATTGTCGAGGTACCGAATCAGTCGGCAAGTGATCTGCTGAATGTGCTGCGTGGTGTTGTCCCCGCCGAGGTCACAAGTTCGTTGCAGCACTTGCGTCGCTTTGTAAAACCTGAGTTCCTTCCGCGCCATATCGGCGTTGCTGGGAGTAACACCAGCGCCGACGGGGAGGCTCGTTCCTTGGCTGAGTCCTCAACCGAACCGCTATCTTCGCCGCGGCAAGCGAGGTCAACAACAAGCCACGTGTTGGTCTGCCCCACGGCAACGATTTCTTTAAGTGCCTTGGAGCGGCTCTTTCAGGATCACGTAGAGCTTTTCAAACCACTGTCTCCGGAAGTGCGAGAGATCGTAGTACCTATCTTCGCCCCCACCTCAGCTGAACAAGCGTCCTCCTGGAGTGAGAAATATTGGCCAACAATCTACAGGAATACCAATCCCTACGGACCACATCCTTCGCTGGTCAAACGTGCGGAGCTGGAACTTGTTGCCAACGGCGATGCTGATCGCTACGTAAATCTGGCTCGCTGTGTAGCTGACTGCGGAAGTGATCAAGGACTTGGCATAGGAGTTGGCGCCGTTGTTGTGGAACGCGTCAACGGCTCAAAGAAAACGAGGATCGTCGCAGTAGCAGGCGATGCCCGCTTTGCAGACATTGCTCGTCATGATTCACCTGAGTGTCCTCATACACCTGGTCAAGGTTTTTCGGGAAATGTAATGGGGCATGCCGTTCTTAGAGCCATTGCAATGGTCGCGCAAAAGAGACGTGTACTTGCACAACTATCCGAAGGCGTGGCTAGCCCAGTCGAGAACGAGTTTCGTGATCTGATATCTTCAGAGATCACACAGGAGCCATGGCCTTTTACTGCTCGTCCGGTATCTGACTTGGAGGAGCTGTATTTAAAAGCCGCTGACAATTTAACACCAAATGGCTATCTTTGTCTTGATCTGGAGATATATCTTACACATGAACCTTGTGTTATGTGCGCCATGGCTATCTTGCATTCCCGATTCAGCCGTGTCGTTTTCGGAAAGCGAGTACCAAAGACGGGCGCTCTCTATGCTGAACAAGACTCACTTGGGCATGGTTTATTTTGGAGGGATCAACTCAATTGGAAGTTTTTTGTCTGGCAGTGGCGAGCCCTGGATGCAGACATCGACGAATCGACCTGTAATGAGGATATACAAGCGTAAATCGGGCACAGAAACGAGTTGGCACTTACGTGACTAGACATCGAAGTAGCATAGCCTCCTGACGTTTTACACAATTTCGGATCAAAAATTCATCGTGAAACTGCCAGGTAATTTCATATGCCTCCCACCCTTCGATTTACAGCTGAACAAATCATATCGGGCAAATTGAAGCGAATATTAGGAGTGCTCCACCCCGGAAACGTAAGCACATGATATGAACGGCTATTAGTAGCCAGGAGGTTGTACCGCTACAGTGGTATGGGTAGCCAGCCAACGGAGCATAGCCGAAGGGCTTTTGGTTGCCTGCTCAACTCCTAGCAATATTTATCCTGCTTCTGTCCACCTTTACCCCTGCCAACGGCAAATTGCACAATGAGAATACAACCATGCCTCTAATGAATCAGATGGCGTGAACCAAGAAGCCAATCTTAGAGCACGTATTGGAAATTCAGGAAAAAAGACCTGCATGGGTAGCCATAAACGAATCTAGCAGTCCTACTTGTGGATCTATATTCTAGAAATGCGTTCCTTTGATCCTAAGAAGATCGTCTCTTATTCAAGGTTCCAGCGAAGATTCAAAATTCGATCTTTTCGCACGTCGTCGGCGAGCTATGTGGGAAGTCGGCAATAGTAAAAGCCGAATGTTGGTGTAGTCCTGTTTTTAGACACTATTATTATTCCATATTGAATCTTTTCATCATCACCACATTCGTTCTCCACTCAAATGTATTGCAATTTCGTTCCTGTCAATGATTTATTTGATGCGATGCTGTGAATCAGCAATGATTGGACTGTCAAAGATAACCGGAAATGATTAAGGCGGCGAGATAAAGGGACTATTGAATGCATCAGTCAAAAGATTAAGGATGAATAGTAGGATCATGATGGAAACCATCCTTGGATTGCTCCTTGGTGTATCTCCTTTAATCAACTTCGGTCTTGGAACGAGGTAGCAGCAGAGCATTTGTTTTTCTATGCCTTGTGTAAACTACAGAGATATTCCAGTATCTCTTTTATCTAAGGGGTCTATCAGCTGAAGCCCACAGAGAGACTGCTAAAATACTGTCAGACTTAGCAATAATTATCCGACGACCAGCCGGGCTAGCAGGAAGTGTACATCACTCAATCATTTCGGCAACGCTGAGCAGGCTTCAAAAGCGTAAATTTTACGCAGGCCACACGTGATATCACAAGAGAACGCTCATTTTGCTCATTTCTGAAAAAACGAGCAGAATGATCATTAATGCAGGACATAACCAAAAGGGTGAAGCATGCGCTCATGGAGCTCATTCTTTTGAAAATGAGCAGGACGAGCACCAGAATTTCGTTTGTCTGTAAAAGAATGGGCTCTGACTCTCCTACGATCACTGTAATTAAATTGTATAGTTTATCTATTCTGTCGGTTTGAATCTCCTTCCGTACCTGAAGCTTCACTACCCCAAGCTATAAAGTCTTTCTCCTCTTATTGATCGTCCCTTTCCTCAACACCCCCGGAGAAAATACTGCTGCCCACTGGCTCGAGGCAGCTCATAACTTCCGAAGTAGCTTGCGTTAGCAGAGCTAGTCGCCATTGGGAAGATATTCCTAACACAGCCGTTCTACGCTCAGAATCCTAGCTCAGTTGGGATCCCTCCGGTGAAGACTTTGGTAGCTGGATCGAAGGTGACGGTATCAGTCGTCTCGCGAAGCTCTCCGTCTGTTAGGCCGCCGTTCCAGATTCTCTGCCTCTTCCTCTTCTTTCAGTTCATCCATTAGGCAGCAGCTTTTGCCTTTGCGCGATCCTCGGCAAGATTTAGGATCTTGAGAATTCGAACAAGTTGCGAAAGGATTTTCTGCTCCTCTGCGTTTATCCTCTGTTGCTCCTCATCTATTCTTTGACGCTCGGCACTCAAATTCTTGAGCTTCTCAAGAATCTTCCCCAAAAGATTCTATTTCAGATGCAAGTCATTTGCGGCGGGAGTCGGATGGTCACATCTTTGTCCCGCGAATGGTTGGGCGCTAATCCCTTAAGTAGCAGAAATTAGGCTTGGGACAAGCTTGATAAGGAAGGGAATAGTGTTACCAAGGTAAGACGTAAGATCAAGTGTGTGATCATTCTAAACATTTCTCCAAGAATGATCAGAATAATCTTCAGCCATAATGACGGACCATACAATAGACAGAAGCAGACCAAACTGGAGTGTATCCAGGCAAGGGGGCCTGCGCTATCAGCAGGGCATATCAGGCAATCTCCTGGCCAGCACTGAACGTCGAAACGCACCTACTACCCAGAAAACAGAAGATATGGAGATATAACCTAGAGGCAGTAGGACGGTTGCAATCCAGCCTAGGAACCCCGGAGCTAGTAGACAGCCGCAAAGAAGAGACCATAGAACATGCCAATACAACATGCTACTGCAGAAAGTCTGAGCAGAGGCACGGAAGTGTTAGGAATACTTTCCCAGTACCGACTAGCTTCACTAATGTAAGCCACTTCGGAAGGGTTTAGCTTCTGTCATGGGGTCACCCCTATGACACGTGATTGGCACCATCCTGTTGCCTGTCTGATTAAAGCAGCACTGACATCAGCTAACATGACCTAACATGACCCAACGTTACCTAACGTTGGCCAACTGGACTCCTGAACTAAACTGACTTCCTAATTCGATTTCACCGCGCGCGCGCCCAAATCCCAATTAGGAAAGGTGTGATAAGGCCCCCTTTATATTCTCAGCAAGAACTACTTTCGGGCCTTCCCTTCTTCATGCAACGTCTTGATTATTGTACGATACTTTAGTACAGCACAACTGAATAGATAGTTGATAGCCTCATCAGCTTACCTCACGTGACAACTTGAGCAGATCACTTCTAGTGGTTCCGTGACAGCTTCCTAGAGCAGAGGAACAACGTATAACTAAGGCTTATTATGAAAGGAAATATAATAAGATAGTTATGTTTATGGCTCAGAATAGTATAAGCTTCAGGATATGAGAATGTATTCGACTAACTACTAGGTAAACTAGACAGTTGAATTACAGAGAACTGCGAACGGAGGTAGGGACAGGATGTTTTTATAGACCAGAATCATAAGTCCTTGTTGCCTTGATCATTTTCCTTAAATGAGCTCTTTCGCCAATCATCAGTGATAGAGTAATCATTCCTTTCTTTGATAGGCCGGTATGGTCATTTTGCTCAATTGATCAAAATAAGTTAAGCATTTCACGTGAGTCATCACGTGTTACTTCGTAACAGGAAGATGGATGAACGAAGCACGGAGACAATAGAAAAGATCTTGTTATTAATCATACTACTATATTAAGCAGGATTAACAATATATATAGACATTAGAAATGAAGAAGCATATAATTAGAATAATAAGATATTAAGCGCAGGGGCCCTTTATATTCATACAGACGGAAGCAGTTTTTTTGAGCACCATATTGTTAGGAATACTTTCCCTATACCGACTAGCTTTACTATCGTAAGCCACTTCGGAAGGGATGGGCTTCCTCGAGCAAAGGGAACAAGAGAGAACTAGGGCTTATTGAGAGAGGAGAGATAATAAGATAGTTCAGCTTTATAACTTAGGGTAGTATGAGCTTTCAAGTAAGAGAGAGTATTCAGACTAACTACTAGGTAAACTAGAGAGTTAAACTACAGAGAGCCGTTAATGAGGTAGGGACAGGATGTTTTTATAGACATAGGAAATTCGTGCTCATCCTGCTCATGCCAAGACCTAATGAGCGCTACTGCACTTTCAATTGGTTCTTTCTTCCCGAACCAATAGTTCTAATGATGGTTCTTGGTGTTTCCCGTGTTATGGTTATAACACACTCAAGGTAGATAGACAGTCTGCGTAGACCTGCAAGGGAAATGTATTCGACTATATATAGAATAAATGATAATCAATCATAATATATTCCAATAAACCGTTTTGCATAGGCTATCCAAAAATTTCAATAAAATTTGTTGGATTTTGACCTGTAAAGTTAGGACCACGTATGATACTCTTGATACCTTCTCGCTTCAGTACCGTCTCAAAGGCTTTTTCCGCGTCGTCAAAATCATGTATGTGCGTGATGAGTTCTTTTAAATTGACTTTTCCAGTTTGCAGAAGCTCAATTGCCAATGCGTAATCTCCAGGTCCATATCGGAAGCTGCCTTTGAGCGTAATTTCCTTATCGCATATCTGCATCATAGCAAAATCGATCTTTTTAGCGCTCAAACCCACTTGCACAAAAGTTCCTCCTCTCCTCATGGCAGTAATACCATGATTTATACAGGAGGCAACACCAGTAGCGTCAATAACAACCTCTGGTCCATCCGGAATGCCTATATTTGACCTGGCCATCTCTACGGTAAGCTCGATATGTTGCTCTTCCATCTTATATGATCCGGTTGCTGCATAATTTTTCGCAAAATCAAGTCGACTTTGCACAACATCCACAGCTACAATAGTAGTAGCCCCAAGAGCTCTACCGACCGCGCAGCTTAGTAGTCCAATTGGACCGGCACCATATACCACTAGCGATGTTCCCAGACTTATTCCTGCAAGCTTGCAACTGTGTACAGCGACACTGAGTGGTTCAACCAAGGCACCTTCCTCAAATGATATAGAATGCGGGAGTTTGAAGCAGCACTCTTCAGGAAGGACGTAGTGAGTGGATAGTGTGCCATCGTATGGAGGTGTTGCAGCAAATCGCATGGATTCACAGAGGTTGTACTTTCCGCCGCGACAAAGAGTACATGTATTGCAGGCGATGCCAGGTTCAAGAGCCACTCGATCGCCCACTTTGAGATTTTTGACATCTCTTCCATAGGCTTTCACTATGCCAGAGGATTCGTGGCCGAGGATGAGGGGTTTCTCAACCACGTAAGGCCCAACTCGGCCATGTGTCCAGTAATGTATCTAATTGCTCCACGTTAATCAATAATGACATAATTTTGAATTAAGAAAACTCACATCAGATCCACACAGGCCGGTCGCGACGATTTGGACTAAGACGTCTCGAGGAGATTGAAGGCTGGGCTGAGGCCGATCTTCATAGTAGAACTCTCCAAGTTTCCGTAGTACGAAGGCACGGTCTGTCAGCTCCTGAGCAGTATCGTGCTGCTCACTCCGCGTATCTTTTGCCAAGGGCGCCATATATTATTGTGCCTACGATAGAAGATGTGGTCATATTCAGCCGCTCATGTTATATGAAGTAATATAGAGAGCTTATGCCGAGTTTAAGCCGAGAGAGCCTTATTGAAATTATACTAGCTACGGGGAGGTACGGATCCTAGTTTTATCTACGGTTCCGACGGAAGTAATAACGGTTCCGGCGGGTACTCCGCCAAGAAGCCGTCGGAACCTTAGCGTTCGACAAAGCAGCTCCATTAATTTTACTCTGACCATACGAAATAACGTTAGCTTTTGAATCTAGCCTTGCCTCTTTCTTCAGCCTCATTGTGATGCTGACAGTTAGCCATGCGGTATTCCCCATGATACGACTTGACTCCTCATTACAACCCCAGAACCCCGCCATTTGCCCCATGGATAGGTCCACTTGTATTGAATAGGTATAGGTTGATGTTCCCGTCACAACTATAAGAAACTGGGTTGTCCTCGCCAGAGTGTGAAGATAAGCTCCTCGCCTCATCAGAGTTTTCATTAACTATAGTCTTGATTTCCAATACTTAACCCATTGAAACATGGCTAGCGGCAGAAGATCTTCGGTTGCAGAGCAGAATGCTGTGATCCGCGATCGATCTCAGTCTGTTGCCCAACTCGTCTCTCAACAGGAGAGCTGGCTTGAGAAGAAGTTGAAGCCGAAGAAGATCAATGCCAGATACCCTATCAAAGGCGCTGCTTTGCTCTATGCGACGTGCGCCTTTGGGAGTCTCGGGGACGCATTATTTGGATACAACTCGGGTTCGTGTCCGTTCTGATGAACTGTTTCACATTCTGAGTATTATAGGAATTATGGCGGGTCTTTTAGTCAACCCAGTCTTCGTTGCTCGCTTCTTCAAGGACTATGGTGGTGCTGACGGCACTACATCTGTGTTAGGAATACTTTCCCAATACCGACTAGCTTCACTAATGTAAGCCACTTCGGAAGGGTTTAGCTTCCTAGAGCAGAGGAACAATGTATAACAAGAGCTTATTATGGAAGGAATATAATAAGATAGTTATGTTTATGACTTAGAATAGTCTGAGCTTCAAGAGTATGAGAATGTATTCAAACTAACTACTAGCTATGCTAGACAGTTAAATCACAGAGAGATGAAAATACCGGTAGAGACAGGACGTTTATATAGACCAATTCTTGACTGTCCTTGCTGCCTTGCCCCAACGATCATTTCGATCATGAATGATCAGACTGATCGCGAACTGCATTCTTGATTCGTCCAACTCCCTTGGTCGAATCATAATCTTGCGCTAATGCAAACCGATCACCTCGATCATGAATGATCAGCATGATCACTTTCCTTTCACGTGATTTCCATGTTACTTCGTAACAATCTGCAATCAATCCTTCCATCACGGGCATAAAACATCACAACAGCGAGAACGTGAATTCTTGGAATCTAGCAATTTTAACGGTGCATATACACTCCTCCACCTAGTAGTTAGACGGATTGACAGGCCTGACGCGGCGCCCAACGCGTGAGATACAGGTATGTCGATTCCCTGGCCCAGGGGAGAGTCCTGGTCAAACAGACTGCCAGAGCACGCTACCCAACTAGCGAAGCACCTTCAAGCGGCGGCGCGATTCGTACATAGCACGCCTGGCAGCACCGTTGAACTAGACCCAGTGAAATCGATAATCTTCGCGGCCCTCAACTTCGTGACAAAGGTACAGCAAGCCCCGGATCTTATCCATGTCCACGACGCAGTCTGTGCTATCCAAGCGCAGCTCCGAACAGGAGCAGAAGACTCAGCGAAAGAGCTAGCGGTGATAAAAGAGGGAATATGCGGCCTCACTGCAGAAGCCCAAAAGACAGCAATCATCAGCGAAGAGGCAAAAGCAGCGGCCCTTGAAGCAGCGGCGATTAGCAAGGCCACGGTGGACATCGCGAAGGACATTAAGAACAAAGGAATACGACCCCGGGAGGGGACGCCTATGAGCTATGCTGCGGCGGCGGCCAGAGGCGCCTACAGCGTGCAGATGCATGAGCAAAGGATGCCTCCCGCCGCGCCGACCCAGCGGGAGATCATAGTAAACATCAAGGATAGCCACACGATCGAACGCTTGCGAGCGATGAACCCGCGGACCCTTAAAACACACGTCAACCAAGCGATTACCCAAAGCGAGAATGAACACATCACCGGCATCACCATAATGTCAGCCAACCAGTTGAAGAGCGGGGACCTCAGTATCCGAACAACAACAGGCAAGGAGACGCAGCTCCTGCGACAGTTCACAGACGACTGGGTAGCACGAGTTGGTAGCGGGTCCTCGGTCAGGAACCCGACTTACGGCGTCTTAGTACACGGCATACGGGTCAGCACAGTCGACATGGACAAACAGGAAGATATGAGAAACGCCATTCTACAAGACAATAAACCCTTTATCCCAAACGCAGAGATCAAGTACATTGGGTGGCTTACCCGGCGGGCACCAAGTAAAGCGATGTCGTCAATCATCGTAGAATTCACGAGGCCTGAGGACGCCAACAAGATTATCGATGAGGGCCTAGTGTGGCAAGGAGAGATGTGCCAGAGTGAGCGCTATGAACGGCAGTGCCGCCTGAAGCAGTGTTTCAAGTGTCAGGCATATGGCCACATAGGAACCCAATGCAAAGCAGCAAAGACATGTGGCTACTGCGCGCTAGAACACGATTCTAGGGACTGCCCATCCAAAGGAGACCGGGACGCCCCTAGGAAATGCGCAGCATGCCACGGCGCGCACGAGGCGTGGAACCGCCTGTGCCCGAGCAGGAAAAACGAGCTGGCCAAGGTAAGGGTGGCCTATGCAAGTAGGCCGCGATACCACGCGGTCGCACCAGCGACGGGAAGCGACACGCCAGCTGCTGTCGCGGGCCCCCCACTGCGGAGGACAAGGTCAACACGGGACATGAAAACGACCCACGCCTCCGCCAGAGGCCAGAAGAGGGCGGCGCCGGAGGGAAAAGAAAACGAGGAGTCAAATCAGCGACCGCAGAGGCCACCAAAGCCTAGCAGGAAAGCGCTGGAGATGATAGACCTAGACACCACAACACGCCGCAGCACCCAAAATATGGACCTCGACAGCGACAGCGATCAATGACAGAACAAGACCAACTGAAGATACTGCAGTATAACGTCCGCAAATCAAAGAACCAGGTCATGGCGACGCTACTACGAGACCCAAACATAGCGACCTATGACATAATAGCCATTCAAGAACCCTGGCGCAATCCATTCGAAGACACGACACACCACCCAGCAAAGGACATCTTCCACCTTTGCTATCCGACGGATGGCACGAAGGAATGCCCGGCGCGGGTATGCTTCTTCATCAACAGGCGCCTAGACCACTCCTGCTGGCAAATCGAGCAATGCACGCGAGACCTATGCACGCTGCGGATCCTCACAGGCGGAGGGGAGGCAGAGAACGAACTGATACTACATAATATATACAACCCAGGCCAAGGCGAAGACCAGGCGGCCACTCTCCCAGTCTTACGAACCCAGCTAGGGAAACATGCCACGAAAGAGCAGATAGCGCTCGGCGATTTCAACCTACACCACCAATTATGGGGGGGCCCAGAAGTCGTCAGGGAAGAGCCACAATCAGAGGAACTCATCGAGATTATGGACGACTTCAATATGATAAATATGCTGAAGCCAGGCACAATCACATTTAACAACGGCCTTGGTCAGACAACTATAGATCTCTGTTGGATGACGCTAGGTCTGGTCGACCGGATAGTCCGCTGCGGAGTAGATGAGGATATTAACCATGACTCTGACCACCTACCGATCGGCATCACGCTAGATACAAGGGTACGGACGATAGAACCCAAACCCAAACGCCCGTGGAAACACCTAGATGAAGAAAAGTTCTGCGAGGCCCTAAAAGAGGTCCTCAAGCCACAACGCAGGCCAGACACGAAGAAAGCCCTTGACGAGTATGTCCAGTATGTCGTCTCCGCAATCCATACAGCGACAGAAAAGGTCCTACCTCTGAGGGGGCCCAGCCCTAAGATGAAGGGATGGTGGGACGACACGTGCCGAGAAACACTTGCGGAAATGAAGCGCCTCCGTAGAGTGTACTCCCGGC